GAGGAACAGACCTTGGCGGGTCTGTAACAAGACGGACACGCTCCCGCTCGTGCGGGCATCTTGCACCTTTTACACGCGCGCAAGAAAAAGGTGAGCGAGTTCAGAGCGGATTCACCCATGAACCCTGGGTTTTCTGAGCCGTCCAGGTTCGGTCTGAAGATCAGAGGTACTTCATACAACACACAGAAGGGCTGAAACAACTTTGAGGAATACCGCCCCGAGTTCTGATAAGAATTCAGCGTGAAATCGACCACTGACGCATCAGAAGGGAGCGGACGGTCAAACCTAGTCAGATCCAATAGAATGGATCAATAAGTTGAACGCACGATTTCAAAAGGCCAACCTGTGCTGGTCGTGGTCTCAAGTCCATCTGTTCACTCCTTAGTGCCTCTTGCCTTATTGATCATCCACTTGCAAAGTGCTCATGAGCCAATTTATAAAAAGAGCCATAGTGCGGATACGCCCAAGATATATAGCGGTCGGCAATTGCGAGGAAAGGAAAATCCCTCCGATTCTTACTACAATCGTCATTTTGCTGATTATCAAGACTAATATCCGGATCAATCCATCTTTGGATGTTATCCCATAGTCTTTTGACCCCACCACGATACTTGACTGATCAATTGATGGGAAGCCGGCGGAAGAAGGAGGCGAAGAATGAAGCGGTGGCTGCAGTGACTAGTGACTGCCTCAGGGTCACTTTGGGCTGTGCTTGGCAACTGTTTCATCCCATTTTGAGTTCGATTGAGACATGTCGCCGTTTTGATTCCAGTCAAGATCAACCATGGGACCTGCCTGGACCCACTCCCTTGCACCTTCTCTTGCAGGCCTTGTGCTTGCCTCACAATCGTGCTGTGGTCTTTCCTTCTCAAGATTCCTAAAGCCTCAAGGAAGGCATGATTGATGGTATTATCACCTTGACTGCCACTTTCTCTCTTTCTCACTCTATACTTCTAGCTAATCCCTAGTTATAATTATCTTCCAACTTAGGAGAATTATGTAACATTAACTAGAAAACACGAAAATACCATGATGAGAAGGAGTGGTATAGATCTCATCATTAAAGTGATAAATCAGCCCCTTTATGTTGTTATTATAGCAGCATGGGAATCGTAAATCACAAAGCCCTAGAGACAGCCTTCCCTTCCTTAGTATCGTCCTAATATTCACCTGATTATCGGCTTCGCCGTGCTCGGAAATCACACCGATGAAGTGCTGCTCATTCCCCGCCCTGCTTCTGTAGCACTCGGCCTCGCCTTCTTCAAGAAACATCGGACAGGCCAAAGTTCGGCTCGTAGGAGCATCCGCTGAACTCGATGAGTCTTGTTCAATTCACCGAGTTCATCCCTCATGGGTCAGCGATATTGACGTGTCATCCCGGGTTTGAAAATTGCTCTTGGGATAGATGAGGTTGTATTCCCAGGAGAGATCTACGTCACAAACTAGACTCATCTCTGAAAGAAGAGCCACTCGCCCACACAAACGGTGCCATCCATTTGATCTCGTCCGAAATCCGGGACAGGGTCTTCGAACCAGCGCTGTCACACATTCTAGAACCGGTCCATTCGCAACGAGCCCACGGCTCGAGTGCTCGGCCCCGGCGCAACAATCCAACGTTACCACACAATACTCCCCAAAACTCAACTGTCCCGCCCGCTGTCCCCCCTCCTTCTTCGTCACTATTGGCATCTTATGCATGTTCCGCTGCTTCGCTCACGCATGCATGGGTGACCAAACGCTCGTTTCCTGTCTTCAACCCCGGCGCTTAGGGCAGACCCTTCTCAAACCTGCGTGCTCCTGTTTAGCCGAGCATGGAATTGGCCCAAGGACCATTCTCGGTCACTTGGATTTCCCGTGTCGTTGAAACTGGTCGTTCATCGCCTCGAGCGCTAGGTCCGTACATCAAGCAAGACCGAGGGGCACCCATTCCCCCACTGCCACCGGCCAGCCCACGTGCATCCAGAAATCGACCCGGTTCACATACAAATGATCCTTAGGAACAGCGATCTGAGCGGTTCGTGGATGCTAAACGAGGTTTGATGATGGGCCTTCCGGCCCCAAGGGTTCAATTTTCTACGAGGAGCCATCCTCAACATAAGCTTGACACGAAGGCCACGCCACTTTACAACTTCGAGGACGGCGGATTCGAACGGGATCAGGAACCTTGCCATGTTTCGCGATCGCCTATCACTCATGAACTATACTCGGGACCTACGCAAGCTGCGAACTCTTCACCCAGGTTTTCAGGGTGAATGGTGGACTAGAGTCTGGTTCTTGTCCGTCAAAAATTGATGGAAACGGGTACTTGTTGCCTCCCAGAGATCTAGTACCCCTATCACTCTACCACCTATCACACTATCATATACGGGCCTAGCCTATTGACCTGTACGAACCGACCCCAGATCTAGAGTACCCTAGAGGCTCTTCCAAAGGGGAGCTGTATCGGAGTGGGGACGGAAGTAGGAGAAGGAGGATCACCAAGCTGGTCGAAATGTGATAATCCGGGCAGTGAGGCGTCTGACCTATTAGCCCCCAAGCCAGGGCCATGTAAGACGCTTACATGTTGGGCCCAAACCAGAGCTATTCCTGGAGATCACTATCATCTGTCGGCCGCGCCACGCTTACACTCGAGCGTGGGAAGAAAGACAAGATGGAAATTTGGGGCAGCGCAGTCAACCAAATTTGGCTTTTACGGAACCCGGGACGAGATTTGGGACAGGAGCTTGAAACCTTCCTTGGATGAGAACTTGCTAGGAGGCATGCAGACATTGCGCCAGCAGGGTGATGGCACAAATTCGCTGATAGTGATTGATCTTCAGCAAACACAGGTTTGTCGGGGTTTCAGTAAATCATCGCCTTCTCCGTTGCAGTTTTGCTTTACGCTCACACTCATTAACGAGCAAGTTCGGATGACCCCGATGAGGTGTTCGGATACCTGCCTTGCCAGCAACAGCTCCCGATGCCACGGACTGAGTGGCAATGCGACGTAATGCATGCTCCCATGCATTCAAGTTGGCATCTCCTAGCACTTAGTATGGGATTTTGAAGTTTTTGAAGATTCCTGACGCTATTCGGTTCGGTCACCCTTCTGGTGCCGAGAATGCCCGGATTGCTTCAGGAGCATGAGTTCAAGGGGACAACTCACCTAACGGTAGGAGCTCAGATTGGGCGGACTTCTCCCTGAGGGCTCATTGTCCGAATAAAGGGAACAAGGTGACGAAAAGATCGAGTCCGAGTCCTCGCTCTCTTCTTTTCCCCTCATAGAATCTATCAACTTGAGGCCCGCTAAGCCAACTCTCAAAGTTGGCGTCATGCCCAACGGTTAGCAACAGGAGGCACACGAGGTTGGTATGTCCCGAAGGTGACACTAGCTGCACATGCGTTTTCCGGGATGGAGGAAGGGAACTGGGCTCTAGGGCTACGAGCGAGATGTGGTGGAACATGGTATGTGCAGGACAGCCGGAAGCCGAGTTTTTCTCTCTTTCTCGTGTCACCCAGGTAGCAAGTAGGTTATGGGAACTCTACCGAGGACAAGCTTGAGAAAATCTCCGATACTCACGCTAGGCCTTTCTTTTATTTGAGAATGTCTTTCCTGCATTTTCCCTCCGCGATAGTCGGGATATAGAGGCAGAATGGAGTCCCCTTTTCCTTTGTTCTCTCCCAAATGGCGGCTTCCGAGCTCGCTTTGGGAATCTGTAGGAAGAAGGAAATCAGAGTTCAAAGGGGAGGGGGGATATCGAGAAAGAGAAAACGTTGGGGTAGCTTAACGGGCGGTGATGGGCCATTATTCTGGTGCCACGTCATCTGAAGTTGTTGGTCGTTATGGCCTTTTTCATATGCCCGACGTGCTGCACTCTTAGACGGGGCACGCTCACTGAGGATGACGACTGACGAAAACGAAAGAGGCCACGAGAATCTGGGGGCCCATCAATCTGCTGGTCGGCAAAGACGTTGTGTCTGCATCAATTCTATGGTGCACTTCATGATGCAAAACTCACTCATGCACCCTTGAGCTCATGTCGAGGCACACAAGGCCTCGTAGCGGTCGCCCTCTTGTTGTATGTGCAGACGCCGCACGCACGCTAGCTCCCTTGTTGCGCGTTCCCAACCCCTAGCGAGGAGCTAGCGGGCAAGCAGCCTGCGGTGGCCCGGATGGGGGAAAGAAGAGGACTGGCTCTGGCCAGACGAGTCCACACCCTCGGACGGGGGTAAAGGGGTAGTTTAATCCTAGGCCATCCAAGGCCTCCCCTCTCTTTAAGGTGAACGAAGAGCGGCAGAGGCGCTATCAGTTGACAGACGCTGAGTACAAAGCTTCACTTTAGCTTGTACGACGCAACCTGTCGGAGGTAGGAGACGAGTGGACGGATAACTCGCTACGATGGGGCGGGGGCTTTTTTGTTGAGTCCTCATCGTAAGGAGAAAGCGAATGCGCGTTATAGAGGGAGAAGATTGATTGCTTCTATGTGTGTGTGTGTGTGTGTGTGTGCTTATGGAGCTGCGAGTGATTGAAGGCTTATCTTGGAACCAGGGATATGGCTCAGCAGGAGGCAGAGGTGCGCCCTCAATCCTCTAGACACGCTTGAGCAGGCTCAAGGAGGCAGAATGCTTCTTTTCGCGACATGGGAGTGTGTCAATGAGGATGCAATGGGATGTGAGTCGATGTAGTAGTTGAGCGGTGGCCATTATACAGAAGCCCCTCTAGGGCTTTGAGTATCGTATGGATGCGCGACATAGCTTATTCCTGTGATTCTGTTCTGTTTCACACGCAGACTAAGAATCGGCAAGAGGAACTGGCAGCGCGTTGATGCTCGCTTTACTCTTTTCTGTCCTTTGAAACCCACTTCCTTGTCTACTCTCTTCTCGGGTGAGATCTCTATATATCGTTTTTCCTTGTCTTCTTATCGTTATTCCCAACGCCTAATTTTCCTTTTCCCTTTCCTTTTCCCATTCTTTTTTGCTTTCCTCGGATGTGAAGCGAGAAAAAAAGATACTTACTCGAGCTAGAACAGGTCGTCGATAGCCTTGTCTGCATCCTTGCCTATGAGTTCTAGCATGCCCTGCACGATGACGAACGGAAAAACAAGGGACCCGCGGGGTTAGCAAGATGGAGATGATGGAGGCGACGGGAACGGTGAGTTTGCCTACCTCTGGCATGATGGGCTTGCCGTCATCGCCTCTGACGTAGCGGAAGGGCAAATCTGTGCTTTCGTGCTCGTTGAACTTGAGCTCGGGGAAGTCGTCGTAGGGGATCTTGTCTAGGGGAACTGCGCGCATAGGATGGAGGAGTTAGGATACACTCCGTCTCCTGTCGGCCGAAAAAGAAAAAGAAAAGGCAGAGGGGCCTGACGGGGGCTTGACGAAAACAAGTGTTAGAAAGGAAAAGGGGAGCTTGCGCACCTTTATCCTGCACTACTATTCTCGTTACCCTGACGGCGGTGTCTGTGGTCATCTGCTTGGGACCTAACCTCCGGCCTTCGAAGCCCTTTTGCGTAGCTCAGAGGTACGGTCTACGGGAGGAGGCACGGCCTCTTGGTTAGCAGGCCTTTTCCTTTCAGAAAGACGAGACCACGGGGGTCAATTTTTTGGGCCCCTTGCTGTCAGCGGGTCTTTCATACCTCGGGGAGGATCATCGCCTGCAATCGAGTTAGTGACGAGCCATGAGTGCGATATTGACGGGCTAGCAAAGAGACGGTACGGATTGGAAAGGGATGGAAGAAGATAAGAGGGAAACACCGGAACCACGTGGAGCATACCTAGGATTCCGCCAAAGAGAAAGACATCAAAGGTGTCTCCGTCTTCGGGGCTCAGGTCCTTGGCGGCGGACGGGTCGAGCAGGCAGACGCGATCCTTGGTATCGCGGTAGAGGTCCTCGACGCTCCGGGAGTCGGAGACGAAAGCGGGCTCGGCGGCCAGGGAGGGAGGCACGCGGAAGGCGGGGGAAGAGAGGAAAGGCAAAGGTGCTGCCGGCGGCGTGGGACTCCCGGGCGATGGTGATGTACTCGAGCTCGGACCAGGGGCCGAGCTCCGGATCGAGGTGCTCGACGATGTAGGTCAGGCTCCGGGGTTTGGGGTCCTGCTGCTGGGCCATGGCTGCCGCGACTGGTATGCGCGCGCGCACGAAGAGAGAGAGAGAACAGAGAGAGTGGGTATGTGTGTGGATGTGTGGATGTGTGGATGTGTACTACACGCACGTTGGATCTGTGCTTTCTTCCCCGTTTCAGAACTTGGTCTTGATTCTCTTCTTTTGCCCAAGCCTTTGGTTTGGGATTCGAGGATGAGAAGAACCCGGCGACGCAATGGCAACGGGTCTGGATGGTGGGGCTAAACGGCTTGGGAGAAACAAATCAGGAAAAACCTCTACGAGAGCGGGGAGGGGTGCAGTTTCGACCCGTGTTTCGGCCGTTGACGAGTTGGGGATGGTTGGTTTTTTTTTCAACTTCCTTTTTCGTCCTAGTCCTACGTGTACTGATGAGAAAGCCCTTTAGGGTCTAGAAGCGATTCTCAACCTCGAGCCAAGGGTGACGAAGTATTAGTGTGCAAGAAATTCAAAGGCCAAACAACAAAGAAATTCTCAAGGTTCTCCATGTAGCAGCTTCCGTGAGTGCAGTGAGCAGGCGAAATTTCGAAGCGGGGCATTTTACACTGTGCATGTATCGTATCGCATGCGGACATCACCAAATTCACGAGGATGATTGCGCTTCGAGGCTCGATACACGTATTGAGCCCCAAGGAGAAGAGGGAATCTGGGCGTTTGACAAAGTTCTATAACACCATACGCGAAGAAGCAAACAACCCAAAAAGGCTGTATGTCTCGGCTTTGCCTGCGACTTGAAGTTTTTGACAAGACACGCCTGCAGCATGCTTCTCCGTGGAAGAAATGCAGGGAGATGCAAAGATATGCAGGCACTGAGAGATGGTGTCCCTCTTCCTCATCGCTTGACGAGTTGATGCCAGGCTTCTTTCCTTTCTATCGCCCCTTCTTTTGAGGAGAATGACAACCTACTGGCGGCGCCTCTTCTTCAGCTATTAAATCCCTTTTTTTCTTTTTCTTTCCCTTGCTCGAGGAGAAAGCAGGCCCCCAGGAGCATAGGCGTCGTCATCAAAATTGCGGCCGATGGACCGGGCGCCCCTCCCCGGCTCTTCGGCCAAGGGGCGTGACGCTGAGTGCTTCACACAGCTCGCCGCTGCCCTGCTTTTCCCTTGTCTCGGATCCTCGGGCGGCGATCAGATCCTCCCGCGGACGCGCAAGATGACGGGTATACGTCCCCGAAACATGAGCTCCGGGCGGCGGCGAATTTGGAAGGGTAGGGAAGGGAAGAAGGAGAAGAGGGAGAGACGGAGACGGATGAGAGGGTCTAGGTCTGTCGATCGGGCCATTCGAGCCGAGGAGACAGGTGTAGTTTATTGCTTTAGGAAATAGGGAGAATGCCATAAGGGGAGTAGGGAGTGACAGTTTTGTGTTTCTTCTTCTTTTTTTCCCATCTTTCTGGATTTACCCGCGCCGGTTCGATGCATGTTCATCAATCACCAAGCTGTCCGTTCTCCAGCAAAGCCCGGCTTGACGTCTTGTCGTAAAACTCGCGGCTCAGCTCATGCCCAAGAGGAAGAGAGGTGGGCTTGTTGGGGGCAGTGCCCCCTCCATCCTCTGTTCTTTTTACTGGAGAAAAAAAAAAAAAAACGATAAGCGTTCTCTATTCTTAGCTCACGTCTGCCTGTCAGGCTCGGTATTATCCATTTCCTCTCCATATTGGATTTCCTGGGCCGAAAGGAGTGAGCGGCTGAGGGATGGTGAAGAGGTCAAATCAATATAAACGGACGAGAGTATTATGTCCCCGCGTCTTTAAGATACGTCCACGTTGATACCACGAGGCAAAGAATGTCGAAAGTCGAGCAAAGAAAGAAAAGGACGAAAAGACGAAAAGACGAAAAGAGACAGGACTTGCAGACAGCAAAGATGCGTCAAGAAGAGGGAACAAAGACGTGCGTCGTGTCACAGATCATGTTGCTCAGCCACCCGATCTTTTCTTCTTCAGAGGGACGGGTTCTTGGGGGCTTTCGTTTCTGATACAGGAAAACCAATCCCCCATCCCCTCCCACCCATAGACCGCATCGTCGGCTGTGTCTGAGCGCAAGGTCGCACAATGCAGTGCTGACTGCTGCTCGACAGCGTATTTTGCAACCAAAGGTTTCGGCTTCCCCCAAAGTCACAAATCACGAATTAATCCGGGTGGACACCAAATCCGGCCAGTTCGCCTCCTATCACGTGCCTCATCCGCGGTACATGGGTGATAGGTACAGCAGTACTCGTTTTTTTAGGCTCGACCTCCTAAATATTGGATGTACTATTATTCTCTTCATATATTGGAGAGTTTAGTGCATCTGGCCCGTTTATCGTTGCGTTGCATCAAATTCATCCACTCCCGGGAGGACTAGCATTAGTGGAAAAGGGCAGGCCTCGGCGTGCATCGCGAGGTTATTCTAGCGTACATTGTAGCGTGATTCCAGCCGTTGTAATGGAGTCAAGTACCTGGGTTCCCGGGACCAGTCCGCCCACGGGGAACAGATAGTGCAACGAGGTGTACGTGTCTCAGTGGAAATCTAGCGTGTACAGGGGCGCCTCGACCCAGAATGAGCGAACTGGGAAAAAAGGCTGGGCTGTCCGGGTCCCTCGCAGTCCTCCCCAATGGCCACCTTTCACAATAGCTTGAATCCCCATGCAGAAGTCAATTGTATCGACTTCAACCCCTTCGCCTTGTACTTTGCCTCGAGCTGGGACCCAACTTCATCCAATATTCCCACTTCAACGCCACATCTCTTTTTATCACCCTTTTGTCTTTTCTTTCTTCGTTTCTAGCATTTTGGGTATTATCGCTCCCCGAGACTAGATTTTGGCCCTGCAATTTTTTTTTATTCTTTCCCTTTCTCTCCTTGATCTCTCAGCGCACGCCCTCGCGTCCTTTGCCGAATTGAGGACGCTCCTTTCTTGAGTCCGCCGGACTCGTCCACCTCTTCACGATCGCTGAAACATCCGGTCTCTCGTCCCCTTTCCCTCCCAACTCCCATGTCGGGCCGCATCTACTACTCCATGTTGCGCACCTGACGAACCCCAAACGACCTCAGTTGTCGACAGCCACCTCGCCGCGATTCGGCCATTGACGGGCGCAGCTTCCAGTCGTCCAGTCCCTTTCTCGAAAACCACCCTCCCGACCACCTCACAGCCATCTCTTTTTTCTCGGTCACCTCTTCTATTTTGCAAAAGCTACACACATTCCCATCATGAAGTCGCGGCCGTCGGCTTCGTCGGCCCTGCGCCGGCTCGGCGCCGCCCTTGCCGCCGTGGCGCTGCTGCCCTCCGTCGCCCTTGCGCAGTCCGCCGCCGACTTCTTTGTCCACAGCTTGCCTGGCGCCCCAGCTGAACCCCCATCAAGATGCATGCCGGGTACGTCTGACGATGACCTCTTTCGCCGTCACGGAGGAGAAATACTCCCCTTTTCCCTTTCCCCTTGCCCCTTACCCCCATCTCCTCTCTCAACGCCTCGACGGCGTGTCTAGCTCCTTAACTAACCCCTCGGGCGCCCGGCTTGCAGACACATCGAAATCACACCCGAAGATAGCGGAAATCTCTTCTTCTGGCACTTCCAGAACCAGCACATCGCCAACAAGCAGCGCACCGTCATATGGCTCAACGGCGGGCCCGGCTGCAGCTCCGAGGACGGCGCCCTCATGGAAGTCGGCCCCTACCGGCTCAACGACGACCTCACCCTCTCCTATAACGAGGGCTCCTGGAGCGAGTTCGCCAACCTGCTCTTCGTTGATAACCCTGTCGGCACTGGCTATAGTTTTGTCAGCACCGACAAGTACGTCACCGAGTTGACGCAGATGGCCGACCAGTTTGTCACCTTCCTCGAAAAGTACTTTACCATATTCCCCGAGTACGAGCACGACGATGTATGTTTCGCCTAACCAATTGTTCCCCTCTGTTCCTATCCCTCCCTCTCTCCCCTGATCTTTTTTTTTCGTACCCCTTTAGCTCTAAGCGATAACCCCTATACTTTGATATGCCGAATGCTAACAGCTCTCTCTTCCCCCACTCTAGCTCTACTTCTCCGGCGAGTCCTACGCCGGTCAACACATCCCTTACATCGCCAAGGCCATCCTCGACCGAAACAAGAAGCCCAGCACCAAGGTGAAGTGGTCTCTCAAGGGCCTGCTCATCGGCAACGGCTGGATGTCCCCCAAGGAGCAGTACGAATCCTACATCACCTTTGCTTATGCCCGCGGTATCATCGAAAAAGATAGCGAGCAAGCCAAGCAGCTCCAGCAGCAGTGGCGCATCTGCGAGTCCCGTATCGCCACCGACCCGAACCGCGTCGATTACAGCGAGTGCGAGTCCATCCTCCGCCTCATCCTCGAGTACACCGCCGACTACAACTCCAAGGGCCAACGCCAATGCTACAACATGTATGACGTCCGCCTCAAGGACCTCTACTCCGCCTGCGGCATGAACTGGCCCCCGACCTCAAGCACGTCGAGCCCTATCTCCGGAAACACGAGGTCGTCGACGCCCTGCACGTCAGCCCCGCAAGGTCTCAGGTTGGGCCGAGTGCACCGACAACGTGGGCCGCGCCTTCCGCAACCGCGACTCCCCGCCGCCATCCGCCTCCTGCCCGAAATCTTGACCGAGGTTCCCGTCCTGCTCTTCTCCGGCGCCGACGACCTCATCTGCAACCACATGGGCACCGAGGCCTTCCTCGGAAACCTCGAGTGGAACGGCGGCAAGGGCTTCGAAGTCACCCCTGGCACCTGGGCCCCGCGCCGCGATTGGACCTTTGAGGGCGAGATTGCCGGCTTCTGGCAAGAGGCCCGCAACCTGACGTACGTGCTCTTCTACAACGCCTCCCACATGGTGCCCTACGACCAGTCGCGCCGCTCCCGCGACATGCTCGACCGCTTCATGGGCGTCGACATCTCGAGCATCGGCGGCAAGCCCTCGGACAGCCGCCTCGACGGCGAAAGGGGCCCCAGACCTCGGTCACGGAACCCACCAAGAAGCCCGAGGCCCAGGCCGGCGAGCACGAGCAGGCCGTCCAGGACGCCAAGTGGCAGGCCTACCGCCGCTCCGGCGAGATTGTCCTCTTCCTCGCCATCGTCGGTTTCTGCGTCTGGGGCTACTACGTCTGGCGCGAGCGCCGCCGCAGGCAAGGCTACCGTGGTCTCGACCCCAACCCGGGTGGCCCCATTGGCGGCGCCCCCGCGGTGGCGTGCGCGGCGGCGGCGTCGCGTCCGGCCTCGAGGCGTTCCGCGCTCGCCGGGGCGGTAACAGGGACGTGGAGGCGGGTGACTTTAACGAGAGCGAGCTGGACGAGCTGCATCTCGAGACGCCGACCGAGGGCAAGAGTCGGTATAGCATAGGCGTGGATAGCGATGACGATGATGATGACGATCATGTGAATCGGGAGAAGGGGAAAGGGGGAAGCATGATGCGGACTCGAATGGCTCTTCGTCGAGGTAAAAAAAAAAGGGGAGAGGGCAACACAGGGGCAATAGGAGATTCATGACTAGAGTTGGGTGAATGGGAAAGGGAAGGGTGAGGAAATGTGACTGTCCACGGTTGGCATTTGCTTCTGGGGAATTGCTCACACATTTGTCATTACCGCCTCTCTCGCGCCCTCTCTTGCTCGCTCTCGCTTTCTGCCGCTCAGGGGAAGAAGAAGAAGAAGAGGAAGAATCATGTGGTTTTTTTCATGTATTGTTTTTTTCTTTTCTGTAACAACGCAACTTGGGATGTTTGGTATATGAAGAATCTTTCAGCTGATATCAAAAAATGTACATGTCAACTTGAATCGCCGGGGTGTTCCAACCCACCTCTCTCTTCCCTCGTGCCTAACGTACGCTACCCCTCTGCCACTCCCCTCGTCCGCTCAGCGCTGTCGACAAATGGCCTTGATGTATAGAGACATAAACACTGCTTTCACACGTCGAGGGCGGAAGCGCAGATGCTTCTTCGATAAGGGCATAGGTTTAGATGATCGCAGTGTCTAGGAGAGCTACAGGAGGCACTATTATACCCATCTCACTCACACGTACACCGAGTCATTACGGATAGAAGATGCCAGTCCTTGAAGCCTTTTTTCTTCTTGCTCGGTTCATAGTTCCCTTGACGGATAAGGGGGTGTATTTTTATATATAATGAGCCCGTTTGTTCCTCTAGATCCTCCATAACCCAAAGGCAAAGAAAAAGAAAAAGGAAAAACAAAGCAATAGAAAGATGCCTGTCTAGCCACACCAAGGGAAACATGGGGGAACGAACAAGACAAAACAAACCCCTCCAGAAAAGAGAGGGTTAGAAGAAAAGTAATAAAGAAAAAAAACAGAGGTGTTGCTCCTCTTTTTAAGATCTGATGCCTAGTGATATAATAGTCCCCCGGTATCCCAATTCCCTTGTACGAATCCCCCAAGGTCATGCTCCGTCTGAATAGCAAACGTTTTTAGTTGAAAACGTCAAAAAAAAAAAGAAACAGTCTTTGTGATCCGATGCAGTCGATAAGCCGAGAGTCTCCCCAGTTCATAAGAGAAGACTCAACCAGTGCGCCCCCTCCTTCTAACCCTCCGGAAAGAGGAGTGAAAAGGAAGAAGAAGAAGAAGAGAGAAGAAGGGGAGCACGAAAATACAAGAAAAACCAAAACAAGTCTAGGGTATACCCTCCTCACAACTGCACCACGTTATTCAATATCGTCACCTCCTCGCCGGGCTTGAAAGGCGGCAGGCCGATATACGGACAGCCATCGCAGCGAAACGCATCGCCGAGAGAGCAGTTTCCGCACGAGCCGACCTTGCCTTGCACGGTGAAGTCAACCTCGGCGAGGTCGTTGACGCCGAGCTTGACTACTTGCTGGCGGAGCTTCTCGTCGGCTTCGGCCTGACGGTCCGCCTCCTCGGCGGCTAGACGCTCAGCCAGGCCGCAACTGCAGTCCTTGCAAGCGCGGCGGCGCTTGCCAGCCTTGGGGAGGCATTCGGCGGCTAGAAGAGAGAGAAAACAAAGGTTAGTCCTCGTATGTGTCTTTCTAGTTTCAAAAGTCTTTTCTTTACTCCGTCTGGCGGGGTTTGGGGGAAGGGGGGATAAGAAATGAATGATGGCAGGGAGGAAGGCTTACGTATGTTGAGGGGACGCTTCAGATCCTGCGCCGTAAGAAGAGTATCCTCATCAATCAAATCATCATCATCATCCGCATCCAAGTCATCCAGCGTAACGAAACCAACGCCAGCAGGCACTTTCTTCGCCTGCTCCTGGGCCGCCGCCGCCGCCGCCGCCGCCACAAGCTGCGGCACAGCGTCGTCCGAATCCACCGCCACCTGCAGCTTCTTCTTCCTCCGCAACTTCAGCGGCACGACCGTCTCGGCGCCGTAATCCGGCTTCGCAAACCCGGACCCGCTCCTCACCAACCCCGCCAGCACAAACTCCTTATCCAACGCGGGCCCGATACCGGCCCCGCCCTGTGCCTCGATCCTGCCCCCGGCCCTCAGCGCGTCGTGCACCATGGTCAGCAGCGCACGGTCCAGAAAGGCGTCGGCCGGCTCGCCGCCGCCGCCGCCCAACAGCAGCACGAGGTCGTAGGCGTCGGCGGGTAGGTGGACGAGCCCCGCGGAGAGGCGGTCGAGCATGTGGAGGTCCGAGGCGGCGCGGTCGCGGCCGGCCATGGCAGCGCGGAGGGCGGCTTCGTCCGAGGCGAGGGAGGGCGTGGCCAGCAGTAGGGTTCTGTGGTGGCCGCCGCCGGTGGCCGCCGTCGGCTTCACCGTCGCGCCGCCGTTGCCGTTGGTTGCATTCTGGGAGAGGGCGGCGAATTTGGCGGGGAGGGGCTGGCGAAGGAGGGGGAGAAGTCGAAGTCGGGGCTGGTGTCGATCGTGACGATTGCGGGCGCCATTGTGAAAAGAAAAGAGAACGGTTTTTTTCGTCCAGGCTGGTTTTTTTTTCTTTTTTATCCCTTTGGTTCACCGGTCGCGGATGTACCACGCGCGCGGGAGGAAGGAGGGGAGGGAACGAGGATTTGAACGGTCAAGACAGGTAAGTCGTGGGGATCCAGGGGGAATCCGGAAAAGAGACAAAAGAAGATTTTAAGAGATTGCAAAATAAGAAAAAAGGGAGGGAGAAAAAATTGGAATAGTTTCGTCAAAGAGTTAGGCTCTAGAGACAAAAGGAAGTGGCGAATCGACGGCTTGTTTCCCAATACCTTCTTTTTGCGGTTTTGCTCAGGACCGTCATTTTTTGGCGGGGTACCTGCAGTACATATATATTCCCCCGCTGCCGGGCCAGGTCGGCCAGCACAGGATAAGAACAACGGAGAGATTTACGACTAGGGGGAGTTACCAATTGAATCATTGACAATGAGTGCATCCCCCATTATAGATTGGCCTCGTTCCTTTAGACATGACGCATATCTCTTCTTTACCTCTTCTTTCTTTCTCCTTGACGCCTCGAAATATAAACCTATAGAGCCAATGTTGCCCATTGTTATTTTCCCTTTAAAATCCTCCTAAAAAGACCCCATTGGTAATTCATCCCCCTCCCCAAAGAACAGTCACACTTTCACAGCACAAAGGGCCGAACTAGGCGAACGTCGGCCAACCTCGACGGACCCCCAGGAAGGGCAGGAGGGGTCCCCAAGAACAAATGGGAATTCGCCCTTTGCACAGTTAGTCATCTCCGGTCAGCGGGGTAGCCGTGCGGTCATTGGGTCCCTTGGCACGGTCTCGCGAGTGCCGCAACCGCCCTATTACCCCAGTGCTGGAAGACGCGGGTATACTGTACGATTGCGTATTATGTAGTATTGATTCAATCCCTTTCCGCGGGGCTCCTTGCCCCCTCAGTAGGTTTTTCTTTCTTGGCTGGCCTCTCTCCCCTGCCCTGCCAGTGCTGTCCTTTCACTATGTGCCCCGCGGAGTTGCTGGAATCTGTGGTAGGGCCGTTATCAGCAACCGGAAGCCACTTATCATCCGCACTGATAGCGATAAGCTTCTTTTTCTTCCTTTCTATTATTCTTCTGTCCTTCCCAGCCCGTCGGGAAGTCCTCATGCATGCAGGAAAGCATAGTGTACAATAATATCGCCCTTGAGGCAACGGCATCCTAGTGGTTTCCCATGAGATCAATTATGAACAGCTCTGACCAAACCTCAGATCGTCCTTCATCAACTCCCCGCCTCACCAGACGAAAACCCTGGTTTTGGTTTTGGGGGCTAAATTCAAGCAAGCTAATCTCCCTTTTGAAACTTCTACTCATAGGAGGGAGATAGATACACGGAGACCAAACGTCGTAGCTGGGCCGGAAAAGGGGAGGGTATTCCGCCCTGCATCCCTATTATTAATGTTCCACGAGGGCCAAAACACAAAACACACTCAGATTGCAAATCACGCCCCAACTTGCTCAATGCGGTCTTAGTTGCAGGTCCGACAACGGCCATGTCGCAGCTCTATTATTAATTGGGCAGTCAAGTCTCTAGTCCATCGGATGCATACTTGTTGCAAGGTAAACTCTACGCCTCCACCTTTTATCTACACTAGGAAAGAACCAGAAAAAAAGGGGGAGAGGACCGATCAATGATCTCTTCATGTTATGCGGCTGGGTGAGCTCGCAATTCAATCAATCGTGGGTATATAAAAGAAAATAAGAATATGGCAAGGTTGCTCAATCACCACCAGCCAAAGAATGCTGTCACCAAACGGGATAACAGAAGGATAGAATAGGGAAGGGAAGAGGACAATAGTAAAAATGAAAATGAGGGCATCATCGGCGCCTTCTTCCCTCTCTTCTTCTGTCTCCTCCTCTCTTGTCAAAAGGGAAAGCAAAATGGTGCGCCGTCCCACACAATGGCGGGCTGCTGATAAGATGAATAAAACGGCCAACGAGAATGGTTCGCAATGTCTTCAAGTATGCGTCATCGAGCTGCTTCTTTGCCCTTTTAGATCCTAGTCAAATTCCGCTTCCCGTTCCAAGATCGGGACTCGGAAGCTAATACTTGTAAGGAGAACCCGGTGCCGAATGCAAGCTGGAAACTGGCTGGATGGAATCAGATCCCACAGACGGAGAAGCACTTGTCCACCAAGGAACAATGCTTGTTTTCATTGAAGCTCCAGGCTTGCTTGCAGCCCCATGTTGAAGAAAACTAGCAAACAAGACATGGAGTGAAGGGGGTTGCAACAAGAGACTGGGCTGGGTGACAAGGGGGCAGGGGAAGAGTAACAAAAGGCCCGGGAATTCCCTTCAGAGCAAAGAGGGAGAAAGGAGAAGAAGAAAAGAAAGAAACAAAAACACAAAAGGCCACCATCTATCTGGGTTGTTTTCGGATCCCTGCCAAGTCCGTCATGACGGGGTGCATATGCAAAAATATAAAGATGAATCGTGATGATGAGAAAAAAGACAGAAAATAACCCGCAGTCGGTGATATGTGAAAGAAAAGAAAAAGAAAAAAAAAGAGACCAGGGCAACAAGATATCATGCCTAAGCAGCTGGCCATCCCATAAGAAAGAAACAATTAGAAATCATGCCTCGTTGCAGCTGAGAAGCTCGCCGACTTCCAGTACGCCAATCATTTCGCCCTTCTCCAGCACGGCCAGCACCGTCCGCGAATCACAAATGTCCTCGCCGTCATCCGAGGCTTGCGCCATGTTGCTGACGACGAAATCCACGGCCCGTCGGAGGTTGGTCGTACAACAGACCGAGAGCATGTCATTGCGTGTGACGAATAGGCCGGAAATGTGCTCCAGCCGGGCCACGAGTTCCTCATTTCCGAGGCCCTTTATCCTGCTAGGCGAGGCCACGCGCCCGTCCAAGAGCCGTACCCAGCCCGACTTCGATGCGTAACCCGCCTTGAGAACATCCGCTCCCGTCGTGTGCTTGCGCGCCTCAATCACCGGGATGTCCTGAAGCAGCACCGCAATATCTCGCGTCGTCTCCGGCCGCCTATATGCCGCTCCGATGGCCCCGCCCGGATGGTGCTTGGCGAAAACGCGGGACACCGAGTGGTGGATCTCTTTCGCCGCCGTTATCGCGACGGCATCGCCCACGGCCAGGGCGACAGTGGTCGAGGTGGTGGGCGCGGGCACCCCAAACGAAGTCGTCTCGGGTTCGTGCACCGGGGCCGGAAGCAGGATCGTGTCGGGTCGTAGGCGGATGAAATCGCATCCGGCCGGCCGAGTATGCGAGGTAAGGAGGATGACGGGCAGGCTAGCGTCAATATGGGGTAGGAGGCTGAGAAGTTCCTGCGTCTTCCCGGAGAATGTGATGAACATGAGGGTATCGTAGCGTCCAATGAGGCCTAAATCGCCGTGCAGCGCCTCTGTCGGGTGGAGGAAGACTGTGGGTATCGCCAGGCTGTTAAAGGTAGCTACGAGCTTCTTGCCGATAAGTCCCGATTTGCCGACGCCCGTAATCACCAGCTTTCCCCTCTCACCATTGTGCCTGGTCACGGCCTCGACAGTCCTAGAAAACCCATCCCGCGCGACCGGGTCCGTTTCGTAGAGGCGTGTGATATACCTGAGCGCCGTGGCTTCCGTGTTGAGAACATGGAGGGCACCGTGTAGCCTCTTCTCGAGAGAGGCGTGGTGCTTGGTTGCGCCGCCTGCCGTGTGGCCCCCAGTCGCCGGCTTACATGCTCAAGATCGAGCTCCTCGAATTGGTCGCAAAGATAGGCGCTAGACGACGAGTGCAGCGACGGCGATGGGGAGATGGTGGTGGAACAGCGGCAAATTGATCTGACCCAGGCACAAAGACAGCGCTATTCTGAACAGGCCGGTGCTCGACCGGGCGGTGGCTCGCCATGGTAGGGTATCCAACCCGTGCTGTGGTCATCAGGCAAGCCGACACAGGACTTATAGAACCAAGAACAGGGGAGGAATCGCAAAAGGCTTCTCAAAGGGAGAAAAAGAAAATGCTAAAAAAGGAGGGACGCTTGCGGTTTCGCGACGTTCCACTAAATCTCGCCGAATTTACGAGCTTTCATCGGTGGCAAAGCTAGAGACTTCCGGAACCGCTTGAAGGGGGCAGCCGATAGAGGGGCGGATTGCGAATGTGAATTATCTCCGAAAATATCCGCACAGTCGAGTAGGCCAATCCGAGGAGCACCAACAGCGCGCACCTACTCTTTCATTCGTCAAAGGAGGCCGACAACTCGTTTTGGTCTTCCTGTTCTTTCGAGGAGATGTTGGTTGCTAACGCGATCCGCTCATGATTGCCGTGTTTATGAAAGGTCGAACAAAACGAAAAGCGAGAGAGAGGGAGAGGGAGAGATGAAGACTCCGTAAAATAAAGAGAGAGGGACAAGTAGCGTGGTGGGGGTGAAGTAAGTTACGTGAGGGAACCCGCCAGAAATTGTCGGGAGCGAGCACTATTTAGGAGGGGTGGACGGAGCCAGGTTTATCGAGAGAGGACGTGTACAGTAGTTACTTGTATTTCCATCCGTGAGGAAATACTTGTCCGGAAAAGGACTGGGAGGAGGAAGAAAAGATTAATGGATTGATGCTTGAGTGGAGAGTGGAGGACCTTGGAGGGAGCAAGATCCAAGCATGCGCCGAACCGAGAGGGAGAAAAAAAAAAAAAAAAAAGAAAAGAAAAAGAAGAGGAACACGGCACCCGTTAGGATCGGAAAGCGAGAAGGCGAAAGGGGGTGGATACCCATCAAAAAATTGGTGTTTGCACCATTTTCTTTGCAGTTGGCGACGCCGCTAACAAAAGGCATCAAGCAAGACTTGTGAGGTCTTGGCTTCCCGCTTGCGCTCCACTTGGACGCGTCAAAGAGGGAGGGGAGGAAAGCGAACCCTTTTGGAAAGTCAAAGGGCGGATGGATTTACACAGGATCGGGGGCTAGTGGAGTGTGAAGCGCGGCAAATCGCTGTCTCTTCGTCTCCTTCGCCCGCCTCCCCGCGCTCTCCCCAAATGCTATGCGACCTTGAATTCACATTAATAATCACGATACCTGAAGCGGTTCGAGCATCTCCGAGGCATTGAACATCTCATCTCGAAAGCTGGAGGCACCACGGCGCACGAACGGCAAGCCAAGACTCGCGAGTATCAAGATGGGAGGTGATACCGTCTCGAAGATCAGTGGTCCAGGGGCAGTACGGAGGGGGTCTCTCCCTACTAGACCCTGAATCTTGAATGGCCAGCCACTTCCCCCATCTACCGTTCCGTTCCAGTGCGACGTGTGGGTGCCTTTGTTGTGGCTGTGGAGCCGAACCGACGGTTTTCCCTGCAAATGAGCACCTGGTTCAATCCCTCTTTCCTCAAGCCGACTTCCTCCTTGCAGGTTGCAACGGCGGTCTCGAAGGGTCCGTTCCAGCTCCAGTCACGCAGCTTCGACAGAGGCCCACGGATATTTGAGGTGTGAGGCGTCCCGGGATCCCCTCTTCCTTTCCCCTCTTGGCTGCGACATTTTTTTCATCTTCGTTTTCATCCTGGGTCAACATTTTGTTCCGGACTTTGAAGGGAGAACAAATGTACCTGCCGTGCTAGCCTATGCAGGGAATCCCGCAGAGAAGGGCACAGCGAGTGACATCTGGAGCCTGTGACGTGCTTGGCTGAACTCCCCCGGAGTATTTCACGGGTTGGCGGTCAGATCCTCAAAACTTGCGCCATCGCCGACATCGAGCGAATGGCGAATGGCGGGGACCTCGCGGTGATTGGGTGGAGGGGCTGTGGAGCTTCGGCTGGCTCGGTCCAGGCAAACTGACTGTTCAGCACTGAAGAAGTGTAATTGACTACTAGGTTGCAGCAAGAGGGCTAGGTGCTAGGCTCCGAGGTCAAAAGAGAGCAAGAAATATTAGATAACGCACATGTATGGATGTGGGATCGTCAGCCAGTTACCTCCACACACAGAGCACGGGTCAACCCAGCTCGTTGTTATCAGATCGATTCCCGAGCTAACGAGAACGCAATCTCCACCTCCAGCCAGATCCAAGGAGTCTAGCACACTTGCACTTCAAGGGGTTTCGGTGGGTAGCCCAAGGATTGTCAAAGAGTCATCATTATTTTTGATCGATCGACCTCATTCTAACTTTAATGAATTTTCGGAAGAGAGCATTAAAGGGAGCAGACCTTCCGAAGCGGAAAGCAGTGACCGTCGAATACAGCTGCACTGCACCGCACCATCGAAGCTGCCGCATGTGGCAGAAGGTGGGGGCGGGGTTGCCCTTGATCCCTGCGATTAGTTTTCCACGTCAGGATCGATCCATTAATTGATGCACGGGGAAGGAGCATGACGCGCCCTAGAAAGCCACGATGGGAGCTTGTAATTTGTAGCTGTTGGCATCATTGTGTCAGATCGAATTATGAGGCGAGACTTCGGCCACTTTTCTCAGGGCTGCAGGGTTTCAGCAGTAAACACCTTGACGCTCCCCAACCCACCGAAGCACCCTCTTCTTACGCCGCCGTAGAAAGGACCGATAGTTCTCACATTCAGCTCTGAGGGGAAACCCCCTCCGGAGGTTGTAAGTTAGGACCTGATAGGCAAGATAGAAAACAGGTGCCTCCAGTGCTTCAATACGACCGTGGATCCATTCAATCACTTGATCTTGATCCGTAGATCGTTCCTGCCATCTCAACGCTTGGAAGTCCTCATGGCCAGAGGGTCCTTTCCTCCAATATCCACAATATCCCTTTCTCGTGAATATCAAATAGAGAGAAAACAAGCCTTGGCTTCTTGAACATGAAGTACGGTTGCAAGGGATATCTAAGAGCCGGTCGATTTTTGATGCGCCAGGATTATGTAAATCTTCTGAGATGGTCTACCACCTCGCCTTTTTGTCTCCGATCCCTACCGGTCTGGCAAGGCTGGGAATTTCGGAGAGCCTCATGGTCCGTCATTACGGATATAAAAGGAATCATAGGGTGCAGTGTAGGCTACATCTTATCTCTATCAACTCAAGACCGGGGATACGGAAAACTTTGGGAGGCGCCCTTACCGTGGAGTGGCCCGTTAAAACGTAAACGTGCAGTGGTTGAGACGGTCCTGGAGACGTTAAGGAAATCTGGACACAACATAGATGGCACTCAGTCTGGCCAATGACACAGCCTTTACCACAAACCAACAAGACTAAGGGGACGCGGATGGGACAAGAGACAACATAGGTTGAGCACAAGAGGGAATGGCGCCGGAGTGCCGCCTGGTCCTGGCCTGGGCTCGACAGCGTTTGGGCTAACCGGGTTTCAATGGGTTCAATTACGCGGGCCTCAGCTGCAAGCCCCTTCCGGCCAGCCGAGTGTGCCGACGAAATGCTCGAAAGGCCTCATTCTAGACGGCTGCATGGTTGACGTTGGGAAAGGGTTACGCTCCTCTTCTGGCCGGGCGAGCGTTATGCTTGCTGAATTAGGCAGGTGGGTCGACAAATGGCGGAAAACGAGTGGTCCATTTCAAGACATCACAGGCAAGGCTCCGAGCTTTCGCTGGCGCACGCGTTCACTCGGAGCCCCAAACTCGGCCGAAGGGTTTCTTGGATACTATATTCAGATACAGGGCCAAGGACCAAAGAGCTTTCTGTCGGATTCAGGACGAGACTGGCGGGGCTGGTTCGAAAGAGCTTGGGTCGCCCACAGCCGTAGCATGAGCTAGCCACGCCAGGTTCTTTGTCTTCCCCATCCTCCTCCAGATTCCACTGCCTCTTTCTTTTCTCAACTCGCGATTCAATAGAACCAACTCTCGTGTTACACAGCGGTATTGGTGCCCAATTCTATGTGTCTCGCTGCACATTGCCTATGACACCCCTCTTCTATAGAGTGCGTATCTCTCGTTCTACCCGTCAGATATTCACCATCTTCGACAAAATGCCTACCAGCTATCCTACCCAACCAGCCATCACTCGGTTGATCTGTTCCAACTACAATCCCAGCAGTAGATGTATCTTGCGCACCCGGCTTCGCTTGGCTCAGCTTCATTTTTTCCTTACCAAAACATCTCAAACCAACCATTGATGGATCTAGAGACATATAGCAGAAAGCCTTCAGGTCAAAATATTCTTCACTACATACACATGTGCGCGCGTGTGTTCGCGAGGACATCGGTATGAGTAGTGGCACGATCTATACCCGAGTCTACTCCAAACGCAACGCGGCGCAACTTATTTCTGCCAAAGGCCCGCAAGGCACTTTGTCTCACCCGCAACTGCTCCACGAGTTTCGAAACCATGCTAATAAGTGGAATCAAGAAGCCACGGCCTTGGTGTCGGTCAGCAGGCGCATCATCGACACGGTGAACCGCGCCGTTCACAAACATTTCATAGACGATGAGCCCCCGGAAGATATCTGGATCGTATTCATCAAACCCAAGGTCACGGAGAATGAGAGCCCTCCCCGGATACACGCTGCAAGTGATCTAGCGGAACAGTGTGGGCTATCGGAACCTAACAAATTCCTTTATGAGATGGTATTTGAGTGGTCTATACCAGACACATTCGTGATGCATCAAGTCTCTTTGCAGACCCTCATGAGCCGCGGGCTTCTGCGAGACTACCCTTTTGGAAATGGCCTTTATACAACTGCGGAATTACGCTGCCTCATTGCGGAGGACTTCCGACAGAGCGATGCTGTGAACCTTGGCCTTTACCTAGGCTTCTTCGCGCAAAAGTTTGGGGCTAGAGCACCGATCCGTTGGCTTCCCGAACAGCTATTCAGAGATTGCATGCGGATGACCGACGAGGTCGATTTCGACTGTTGGATCACACAGCACACAATTGACGAAGTTTTGACTGATTGGTGGCTTATTCACTGTGACTTTATATCCGACTATGAAGAATTTGAGGATTGGAAAGAGATCATGAAGGATTGCATCAATGAGGGTGTGATTGAGTTTGGCGAAGAGTGGGACGATGCTGAGGAGGATGACCTGGAGATGATTATAGCCAGGGATAAGCTAGAGGCTAGGAACCGCGGGATCAAAGCACAGATTGAGGAATACGCAGTAAAAATAGGATTATAAATGGACTTTTTCTCTTCCGCTCCATCTGCACGTAAATCCCAAGTTTGTTCCTGTATAGCGTTTAGCTTGGCCTTCCGCGACCACACCATTTACTCGGCGAGACCATGTAGAGAGACGTCTCGAACTACCATATATTCCACCTTGAAGAGAAAAGAATAATCACCTCCCTGCCTCCCTGCCTCCCCACCCTCTCTTCCCCCTCCCCTCGTGCGCGAGAACATCGGGATGCAATACCGACCTAATTCCGGCCCAGTAACAGGAGGCTACCGTGACACGACAGAGAGTGACACTGCAGACTCGAGCCGATCAACGCATCAGACACTTCTCAAGAACTCCTAACCCGAAAAGCTACCTTACTGAGAGACGTGCCCTCACCCTTCCTGGGATTACCACAAGGCGGATTTTGCTCGGCAAGTTCATCCTTACTCCTCTAAGACCTCGCGCCGCGCCGTGGCTGTGATGCCGACTCGTCGTGGGCTTTAAGTGAGAAATCACATCGACCGGCAGTGCTTCTTTTAGCCCAGCTTTTCGACCATTTTATGACAAGCCACCAGGCTCTCGCTATCCACCTCATATTTTTAATTATATTTTCTCCTATGCGCCGATGGCAATATCGCACTTCCTTAATCTAGTCTGGGCGCTGGAAGAAGAATAATTTTAGAACGTGTCTTTGGTTGATGCCTGGAATCACATGTGAAAGCGGTTGCAGATCCGGTGCCCCACTCCTCCTCTCACGCATGCCCAAAGAAAGAAGCGTGCTCCTACCACCGGCCAGCTCGGCGGATTGCCAGGCCTCAAAGAGTTCAAACCTCGTAGTTCTTCTCCAAGTTTGAGGGACTGAAGTTCACTGGCAAACACTCCCCGGAACCTTTTAGTTCGGCGAGAGGAAGCCCCTGTCAAGGAAGATTGGTGGCTGGGATTGTCAGCCTCTAGTGTCTCAGTTGACTAAACCGTCTCCTTGAATACATGTAGTCACAAGACATCCATGTGAGGGCATACATAGTATATCATCTTATCCCACCGGGCGATACACTGTGGATTTAGTTTCGGAATGTTACACGGGAGTACGGCACCGTCCGTAAAGCTGTAGTGGGGCTTGGTGACAGCAAAGGGCAGTCGCACCCCACGAGTCCGGATCGACGTCATGGGGTCGGTCGATAGATACACCTGCCCGACTAGGCGACTCCACACTCCTCAACGCTCAGGTTGATCTTGAGCTCTCTAAAGCAAGTGAGAATGTGTTATTCAAAGCTTCTGTGACCAAACTTAGATTTCACTTCTCCCCTTTCCTACCCTTTGAACACCCCCTTCTCGCGGATCTTGCGAAAATGAAGCCTCCAAGAGAAGCCTCGGGGCGGACAGGACCGGATGCTTCGGAACCTCGAGCACCCGGGCCGTCTCTGCGCTCCGCCGTGTTGCTAGCTACCACGGTTTTCTGCTCCGTCTGCCTCATCTTTATTGGGGGCAAGACGCTGCCGTTTCGAGGCCGACATCCGCTAACCCAAGTCTTTGGCGATGCGAAAGCTCAGCCGCCGGCACCGTCGGAGGACGACCTCTACCTCATCGGAGCCGGAAAGGCAGATATTACGGGCCCCGTTGTGGAAATCAACCTCATGGGCTACGCTGACACCAAGCAAGTCGGGACTGGTCTTAGGCAGCGTCTATACTCCCGCGCATTTATCATCGGAAGTATAAGTCGGCCCGAAGATCGATTCGTGTATCTCGTTCTTGATACACAGTCGGGCGACACCGCCGTGCGCTACGGTATCCTCTCGGAGCTTTCCGCTCTCGGCCCTGAATACGCTGTCTACGGACAACACAACGTCGCCGTGACCGCCACGCACTCGCACTCCGGGCCGGGCGCCTGGCTCAACTACCTCTTGCCCCAGATCACGAGTAAGGGATTCGACAAGCAGAGTTACAGGGCAATCGTCGACGGGGCCCTCCTCTCGATCCAGAGAGCCCACGAGAGCCTCGCTCCTGGCCGTCTAAGCTTGGGGCGCACCAAAGTCTATGGTGCAAATATCAACCGGAGCTTATACGCGTATCTGGCGAACCCTGTAGAGGAGAGGCGCAGGTATAATGTTAGTGATGATGACGACGGGAGCGTTGAAAAAGACTTGACGATGCTCAAGTTTCGTCGGGACTCGGATGGCAAAGATATTGGCGTCCTAACCTGGTTCCCAACACATGGGACCTCGCTGCTGGGGAACAACACTTTGATCACTGGTGACAACAAGGGCGTCGCCGCCAGCTTATTTGAGAAAGACGCCCGGTCCCTTGATAGCGCTTCTGACGGCTTCATCGCCGGATTTTCGCAGGCTAGTGTCGGAGATACAAGCCCGAATGTGTTGGGAGCCTGGTGCGAGGATGGGACTGGTGATATGTGCAGTTTTGAAAACAGTACCTGTGCCGATGGCAGGAGCCAAAAATGTCACGGCAGAGGGCCTCGCTTTCGGGAACGGGATAACGGTGCAGCTTCATGTTACGAAGTTGGAAAAAGGCAATATAATGCGGCCAGGGACCTTTACAGCGTCATGCAATCGGACAGCGAGCCCATCCAGGGTGACGTCGTCAAGTCTTCGCACGTATTTCACAACATGTCCTTTTTCAACTTCACGCTCTCCAACGGCAGGCAACTACAGAGCTGCCCTGCCGCACTCGGCTACTCCTTCGCGGCGGGGACCTCGGACGGACCCGGCGCGTTCGACTTTACGCAGCACCACTCCAACGAGACCAACACCTCGCCCGTGTGGAAGGTGATTTCGCATCTCCTCCGCGATCCGACGGACGAACAGGAGAGCTGCCAAGGAGATAAGCCGATCCTTCTCGACGTGGGCGAGATACACAAGCCTTACGAGTGGACACCCAACGTTGTCGATGTCCAGACGTTTAGGGTGGGCCAACTCTTTATCATCGTGAGCCCGGGGAGGCTACGACGATGAGTGGCCGGCGGTGGAAGGATGCGGTGCAGAGCGAAGCGAAGGCGCTGTTTGATTCGGAGTTAGGGTCGAGGGACCCCGTTGTTGTGCTGGGAGGACCGGCCAACAGCTATGCCCATTACATCACTACTGAGGAGGAGTATAGGTATGCCCTTCCCATTCCCTTTAAAGAGACGGCCTATTATTGAAGGGGTTCGATCACCCAGAAACGAGCGGAATTCAAACTAACACCTTTCTCGATAGTATCCAGAGATACGAAGGGGCCTCGACCCTGTACGGCCCGCACACCCTTGCCGCGTACATCAACCGCACACTCACCTACCTACCACACCTCTCATCTAGCTCCCCCACCGGCTCCTCTAATAAGCTAACCCAGCCCTTCCCCCGAACAACTCCAATCGCTCGCTCAACTTCATCAGTCCCGTCGTCTACGACGGAGCCCCGTTCCTAGGCTCCTTTGGCGACGTCTTGCGCGACGTCGAGGACGAGTATCCGCTCGGCGCTCGCGTCAGCGCCACTTTTGCGGGCGCTAACCCGCGAAACAACCTGCGGCTCGAGGGCACATTTGCCCTCGTCGAGCGGAAGACGGTGGGAGATGGCGCCACGGCGGTCTGGGAACCCGTACGAGACGATTCGGACTGGCACCTCGTGTACGCGTGGCGGAGGACAAATGAGGTGCTGGGCCGCAGCGAAGTGGACCTTGTGTGGGAGACGGACGAGGACGGAGAGGCGAAGGCGGGCACGTATAGGTTTCGCTATTTTGGGGACGCCAAGGCCGTGGGGGAAGATTACCGCGTTTGAGGGTGTTAGTGGTGAGTTTACGCTGGTGTAAGTCGTCGAGACTTTTGGTGGCGTGCGGTGCGCAAGCTTTAGTGTCATGACTTTACGAGGACCATGCTTGGGATTGTCTCTTTTCCAGCTTCTTTTTAGCAAAGGCAGGGGCTGCACCGAGATTGTGTTATTAGGCGCTTTGGCGTATACAAGGAGATTGGATATCCCGGCATACAATTCATCAAGTGAACATCTCTGTGCATCGATGACCTTGCTGGTGCCAGCTTGCCCCATCGTACGTCGCCCGGTGTCTGCTCATCAACCCTACGGCACTTGATCGACTGTCTGTATCATGCTTGGTATTAGTCCCAAGCGCAAGTTCGAGGATGAGTGGAGGCAACTCCCCGTTACCTTTTATGCCCCTAACAGCGTTGAGGAGCATCACATTGAGTTCACAGGGTATAGATGGGTTCGTGGCTCGACAAGAGCAAAAGAGCAAGATGTAAATTTGGCTGAGGTTACATGCAGAGATTAGTACATCGTCTCTCTACCAAACAGAAACTTTGAACGAGCATACAAAAAAAAAGAACAAGAGACCAAGGAAATTAAATGGGAGTTTTTCGTGAAGAATGAACCGATCCGAGACGCCGAGCCTCTCCCGTCTCTCTCGAAGCTTTATGGCTTGTCTCCCCCTGTGACAGCCCACCAACGTCTTCTCCCGTGCGTGTATGTAAATGTTACAAGTCTCCCACCGCACCACGCGACGAGCGCAGCGTTTGTCCAGCTCGTCTCACTTCCTCGACACTCCTCTAGTATGCGGCACCCATCACGAGCCTTGGCCCTTAGATGCCGATCCAGATGAGCATGACGACGACGTCCATGCCCTTGCCCTCGCCGCCGTCGTACTTGAAGCTCCACATGCCGTCCCTCTTCTCGTCCCAGAAGGCACCGGTAGCGCTGTGCATACCCCTCCTGCCGACATGGGGCTTGTTATCGGTGCTCTTAGGCTCCTCCGCGCTCGTCGTCACCTGGGGCTCCTCATCCTGGGCGGCGGTGCCCTTGGGCTTGTTGAGCTGGGAGGTGGGGACGAGGTGTTGCACAATGGTGCTGTTGCAAGCAAACTTGTAGGCGGGAGGCGCCGCCGGTGGTGGACTCGGCGATGACGGCCTTTAGGATAGAGTTCTGCGGGATTGGGCTCTGAGTTAGCTGCTGACGGCTCCTTGTGCCAATTCCCAAGTCCGGCTTCGCGCCCGAGACTGGCCGAAAGGCGGGGCGGAGGCAGAGGGTGTTTCCTAAAACGGGGGATACGCACGATGATGGTCGAGTTCCACTCCTCTGTCTTGGAATGATCATAGTATTCGGCCGAGCCAATGGCGTTTTGGCAAGCCTACAAGTCAAAGGGGTCCAATGTTAGCTTGGATGAGAAATATTGTGTTGCCGCTCCTGTCAGTCCTTGTCGAGAATCTCTTGGTGATAGCGAGGTCGCTCTGCCATTTCGGGAGGCGGTTCGTCGATCGACAAAGACGGATAAGGAGGCAAGTGGAACTAGGGGAGGGTGAACCCACATCATTGGCGATTTGCTTGAGGCGGTTGAAGGCAACGGGCTATAATGAATCCCCCAAAAACCATCGTTAGCCCATATTCTTTAACCCCGTTTACCCTGTTAAGTATGGACTGGGGACGATTGGGTGTTTTGCAACCGAATCTCCCCAATCGGAGGTGGAGGGGATAAAAGGGGACAAGGAGATCAGCTCCATACCGGGCTGGCCATGATTAACGAGGCTATATCAGGAGACGAATTGGGATCGGAAGGGCGTGTATTAAGGAAGGGCGAAACGGAGAAGCGGCCGTTGGGTGTATCGTCGTCTAGAGAGTCCGAATCGGTCGAGATTTGAAAAAGTAAGAAGGGGAAAAAAATTAAAGGATCCGGGGAGTGAAGAATTTCGAGACCCGGTGCGATAGGAGGGTGGGTTTATGTGTCTGGGATTATCGAGATCAAGGGTGAATTTGGCCAGTACCACAGAAACAGGGTTTGGAAATGGGCTTGTTTTGTTGCCTTATCTCGGGGAAACGAGCCTTCCTTTGTTTGCTTGTTACCCGTTTCGTCGCGTGGTCGCTTCAAAGGACGTGTTTCTCTTCCTCTCTGCCTGTGCAGTTGGTTTACAGCTGTTCGCACATGGCATAGCGCTTCCGTCACGTGAACCGTGCCTTCTCGAGATGGATAATGGGCACGTGATATAGTTGAAAAACCCACGACCTGGACACAAGGCTTGAGGATGGCCCATGATCAAGTCTCAGACAGTCATTGGCTGCAACGCAGGTACGTCCTCACCCTCGACCACTCATATCGCTGGGCTAATCGCAACTCCACTGCATGTCTAGGCTAACCAACCACCTTGCGACAATCCGCACGTGCACGCTCTTGGAGAGCACTATGTAGGCGTAGAGAGGGCCGTGGTCCGGCCGGCTGGTGCTGTCTGAGAATCATTAGTGGGGCGCAAGCCATTGAGCCTGGGTCTTTGGGGGAAAGCCGTCTTCACGACGTCAATCGAAACTCTTTTTTTCTCTCCTTCTCTTCTTTTGCCCTCTTGGTCTTCGATTCCCCTCCCCTCCTCCTTTCCTTCCCGGCGAAATTGAAAACCAAAGTTTTTCAAGTGTCAATTGGGTCATCGCTCTGCAACAAATACGCCCTCGCCTACTCTCATAATCCTCCTGATCTGGTTCAATAGCTTGTTGCTCAAGAGCGTACTATCAGGCATAAGCTCTATCGATTGAGCTGATCCGCTGACAAGCTCTTTCGCTGAGCAGCCTCCGTCCCTTGCCAAGCCTTCACTTCTCGATCTGCGATCCATTATCCGTGACTCGTACAATTTTACGACGGCTAGCTTCAATTATACATAATGTCGAGCCAACCGTTACTTCAGACTACGCAGGGTAAGGTTTCCTCCTGCAGCCGGCGTTGCGCTCAACTAGGGTTTACTGTAGCTAATTATTTCCTCGTTGTCTCCAGGCAAGCGTATTGCTCTTCCCACTCGCGTTGAACCCAAGGTTTTCTTCGCCAATGAGCGTACATTCCTCTCGTGGCTCAACTTCACCGTCGTGCTTGGGGCTCTGTCCTTGGGTATGCTCAATTTTGGCGATCGCCCCGCCTTCATCTCGGCCTTCTTCTTCACCGGAGTATCGGTCTTCACCCTTCTCTATGCGCTGATAACGTACCACTGGCGCGCCAAGTCCATCAGGTTGCGAGGCCAGGCTGGCTTCGATGATAGATTTGGCCCTACCATCTTAGCCATCATGCTCCTGTTGGCAGTTGTTGTCAACTTTGTCCTCCGGATCGTCTATTCCGCCAAGGACCACACGAAGAACTAGGATGAGCGCGTCGGCTTTGGAGATGTCGGGTAGAGGCGCTCGGGTTGTAAGACCATCGGAGAAAAGCGTGTGCTCGGAGGATCGTTTAAAAACGGTTCGTCGGTGCAAAGCAAAGTTCAATGGACTAGGACGAATCGAAGCTGTCCGTGGCCAAGTGGCCAAGCAAGCTGATGACTGTTGCATCAGAACTTCAGGCGTATTGCGAGGCATTTTAAGGGTATTCTTGGAGTCTTTTTCATCGCATATCTCATTTGTAGTGAGCATTTCCCGTAGTATAGGTAGTCGTGTCTAGAAAACCTAGTGCTACCCACGCTTGCCCCGCATCGTAGTTCGTGTTTGTGACAAAGACCCCTTTCGGGGTAGCCGTACTAGACTGAGGGATGCAAACTGCACAGCAATGCCGATGGTGGCCTGTTATGACATATAAGATTAAGGAAGGTTTCAGCGCATCATCGTTTCTCGTGAATCTGTTCGGTGATACCGGTTCGGCCACTAAGAATCGGCACGGCAGCAGTGGAGAGGAAAATGGCGAGGGAGTTCGTCTTCCGCTTCGGTTTCGGTGGGTTGGCAGCTTGCTCGTAGGTCTGGAGTTTTTCAAATCCATCATCGCTCTCCACCTCGCCTTCTTCTTCTCCGCCGCGCGCAAGCTCGGTTTCGTCAATCGTCTCTCGGTGTTCGGGCCTCGGCTCGACTTCGAACAAGTGGTTATATTGATATACGGTCGCCCCCTCGGCGCCTAGCACGCTCTTCGAAGTCTCTATTATCGTAATCATCTTGCACACCTCGCTCGGGCGGGCATGCACGAGCACGAGCGGCATCCGCTGCGCATCGCTGTCTCCCTGGCTCGTGGCAGCTCCGCGGAGGTGTTCGGCAATCCTTGTCACACGGTTGCGAATCTTGGTGGATGATATGACTGACATTGCCGCAACGTCGTACTTTGGCTTCAGGTCCGCCAGCATGCTCTCGTGAAACTGGGAGAGGAGGGCTGTTGGGTTGGGTTGTGATGTTCGAGCCTTGGCACCTGTGTCCCCCTTTCAGAAGTTTCACCATTCGGTGATTTTCTTCTCTTCGATGGAGCAGACTCTTTTGTGCCCAGAGATCCTTTCCTTTTGAAGACTGTCGAAGGGCGACCGAGCCCCGAGGCTCCGGCATTCTGGCGAGACCTAGTCAGCTTAGCTAGGCGGAGGATGTTAAGGGTGATGTTGTGACTACGGAAGCACTGCCTGGAGATAGGGGCTTAAGGATACAATTCGGATGGAAAAGCCCTTTGTAAATGGAGGTTTCGGGGTTGCTTGACCAAGGTTCGATCGATGGATGTCAGGTTTGAATTTTACTATTCAGCGGAACTGTCCAGGGTCCTGCCAATTTTTAGTGGGCCGGATTGAGACCGCAAGGTCTTATCGATAAGGAAAATGGAGTGGGTGGTCAGAGACACTCATTTTTGGGTCGGGTGCTCTAATACCCCCACATCAGCTGTGCCGTCCTCACATCAACATTGATAACCCCCTTGATCCGGGTGGTCGAATTGAGGCTCTCTTTCCCCAGTATCCCCAATACGCTTGAGTACTAGCTGGAGTGGGCTTATCAATGGAGCAACCAAGGCTCTCTTGCAAGACAATTTGTGGTATTGCTTTGCTCCAAATCATATGTTGCTTGTTTGCAATCACTTATTACTCTGGGCTGTTGCACGACCTTCGCCTCTATTCCACCTTCCCTTGCTCACGCTCATAAATTCAAGGTTTCTCTCTTGTTCGATAGAGCTGCCGCAGCATGAGGTGTGCGACATCATGCAATGAATTTTACTCGTATGTTTGGTAGGCCGGTCAATAATAGCGTGGGAAGCCCAGGGCTCTTGGGGGTTTCCTCCCAAATACGCTTGCTCGAAAGAGCTTTTGCTCAGAATTGCAATCCGTGCTGCGCAAGCTCAAACACACACAGGGTTAGCCTCCAAAAGTGAGCGCAAAGCTAAAAATGTGGTGATCAAAGCTCTTTCCAAACATAGGACTATTACAGCCTCCGGCCGGCTAGTGGATGGCGGATCGACCTTATTAATCTAGCCGTCGGCTACGCTGGGAATTTGCCTGGCCTCTTGAACAATGGCGCGACGCTACGCGACGAAAATAGCGGCTCCGTGGGCGGCGCATATCGATCTCCTACATCACATCATCCGACCGAGTTTCAGAACTGAGTCTACAAGGTGTATCATCATGCCTTACCACCCAGATAGGTCGGACGAGGGTCGAAGGGTAGGAAGCCACATCGCGATCTCGAAACTACCTCCCCCTTCGCGCGCGGCCGGAAAATATCACTGTTTATTTACTTTCGTGTTTTTCCATCCCGCTTCTGCGCTGACGGGAGGAAGGCACACAGACGGCAGAGATGCTGAGGGCTTGTTCCCGCACTGCCAATTTGAAGATGTCTCTCCTCTTTGGGAAGTGCTCTCAGACATTGAGGGACGGAAGAGGATGACCGGCCCATTGCGATTTGGGGATGTGATTGGCTAGATGTTTCGAATCGCTGGTTCACGGACCACGGTTCATGTAGAGTACTTCGAGGCGAGGTACCGACTGCACTTTTGCAGAAATGACGCTTGAGAGCTGGAGGTGACCTGCAAATGGCTGGCCAGTGCGTTGTTTCCCACTTGGAACCGGAACAGAACCAGGCTCTGCGAATGGGGTTTGATTGGGTGGAGGTGCCAGAGCCCGTCGATTTTTGCCACGGGGAGGGCATGCTAGGGTAGGACTACGAGGTAGTGGACGCAGTAAATTGCAAAGCAATAAACTTCGCAGGATCCATGGGTAGGTTTTCTAAAGGACGAGGGGGAAAATAACAAAAACCTGCTCCAAAGAATACTCCTAATGCTCGAAAATGGCTATGCGGGGGTGCACTTGAGGGAGGATGAGAGGTGGAGTATCTGACGGTCGATCAGGCCCGCAAGGCATCTTGCGTGTCGCAAAAAAAGAAATCAGGCATCATCCATCAATTATGTCAGACTGGACCTTCTCTTTTGATAAGGGTGAGGGGGCGGCCCTTGAGAATGAAAATTTGCAGATATTGAATGAGCAGGATTATGTAAGTTTCCTACCCATTCATGGCCTCAAAGAGGCCAGATTCAATGTTCAGATGGTGCGGTCGTCTCTCGGGGCTGCATGCTGCTGCAGATGTCTTCGATCTCTTTCGTTCCGGAATGCGACTGCAGGGATCATGCCCTCACGACCTCCCGGTTAGCGTTGTGGTGATGGAGGGATCTCCTATTGATTGCAGGGCCCCCTTGCCAAATTTGGCAGCAAGTTAGGAGGGTACCTATCCACCCCCGTTGTTCGCCTTTCTCCGGTCGTCCTCCTCGCCACACTTCCCTTCACGCTGGGCAAGCGAGTGCTGCACACGCTCTTGTAGCCCGCCGGAATTGCTGGTCGCCCCCACCGGTGAGACAGGACCATCCCCAGCACTAGCAAACCAAGGACAGGTGCTGGTCGAGGCCCAGGGATGCGAGTCAATGTACTTCACACGTGCGCGGCCATTGGAGGCGACCATTGTTTTCTCATGGTCGCCTGTGGGTGTGGCGTGTGGAGAGGAACCCCAGTGGCGGCACTAGGGGGTGGTAGTGGGTACCGTAGATGAGGATTGGCTTGGTGTCAGGAAGCATCTCGCCTTGACCGAATGGTATCTCACTAACATCGCTTCAACACGGAGAGGGAGGAAGAGCGAATTTGGTGTGGACGACGTGAAACCAAGCGACAGATGCGACACGCCTTGCCTCTGGGAGGAGGCAACTGCGATCATCTTGCTTATTTTCGGGAAGGTGAGAAGAATGAAAAAAAAAAAAATAAATAAATAAAAAATAGAAAGAATAATAACAAAAGATACGATATTTGAGGACGAGAAAGGTTGAACCCCTGTTCTAGCAGCATTTCACAAACGCATCGGACCACTTCAAACTAATTATTGACGATTCTTTGTTCGTCAAAGCCTCCATTTTCAAATATCGGCGAAATCGGGGAGCGGAGTTGGTGTTGGTACTTTTTTCAACTTTCTTTTTCCGATTTTCCTTTTTCTTTTGGGTTAAGGGGAAAAAGCATGCTCTCAAAAAGCGAGCTCTGCTCTCACTGGCTGGGAGGAAGAAGAGAGGTCACTGAGGCCGTTCCTCGTACTTGTAGGACTTATGTTGTAATTGTAATTGTAATTGTTCACACAATTTTGACGTAAAAACTAGGTTCCAAGTCATTCTGCGGCTGACATTCAATTTGAGTGGCTCCTTCGTCCTCGTTCGACAGCACCAGCGGCCAGTCGAACCCAGTGAAACTGACTCTTAGTGGGGCTCGTGTCCGAAGGAGGTCGTCGATACTTGGACCGGGGGTTCCTGTGCTCCGCCTGCATCCTACCAGCTAATCAAGGTCAACGTGCAGGTACAACACCAGGTTTAAATTGCCGAATGGAGCCCTGCCGGCTCCCCGTTATGAGGCCTTCCTTGGTCCTCCCTTGCTTGGAACCGGCGAGGAGGAAATAGGAAGAAAAACCGTTATTACTTGTAATTTTGTATGAGGCCCGACCGTCGCGCAGGTAATAATTCCAAGTCGATTCTCAGGCGGAACACCAGCTTCGTAGATTTTTGTGAAATCACTATCGCAGAGTGAGACGAGACAACCGCCTGCTTCTTTAGCGTCATTTACGTTCGACGAGATCTGGTACACTTCTGTTCGGGTGGCTGCGGGGAAAGTAAGCGTGGCCAGTTAATAGTTCTGCGCACTGCACTGGGAGGGGGCGCTAGATCGCCCCATTGACGACACAACGATGTCCTAGAGGATAGGCGGAGCGCATTCGCTCCGTCATTTTTGGGTTCGCCCGGGTCGGTTTTGGCTGTACCAATGCTGTTCCTGTACCTACCTAACTCTCGAGCTTAAAGTGGAGATGTGCGCTAAGGGGGCTCTTGAGCTCAGTTTTGGTGACGAGGAAAGGCCTCGCTCGTATCATCACCTCCAAGGTCCCCACTATTACGGTCGTTTGATTGATAGCCAGCCTATAGCCCCTCCAAGCTCGCTAAGAAAGAGCAATTCGCCAAAGCTGTCCTGTCGACTAGCCTCTGCCCCTCATGGCGGAAGGCCGCATAACGCACACTGCAGCGTAAAAGGTAGAATAAAAACCACTCTTTTGCCTCCCGTCAGGCCAATCCAAGGCAAGTCCAAAACTAGAGAGCTAGTCGCAATACAAGTACGCCGAACTCTTCGGGTTGATGAGTTGCATCATGGGGCGGAGAAGATGGGTCGTCAGATGGGGCTGTTATATGGGGCAGGCGGGGAGAAGAGAGCACGCTTGGTGGAATGGATGCGGAGCTTCCACCCTGCTTGGCGCTCCTCGAAATTGGGGCGAACAAGCAGATATCCGTCGGACATTGAAGGCTTTCGACACCCATTTATGGATGCCTCGGGGAAGGACCGGACAGATGGCGAGTGACCACTCACGCTCGACATCTTTGTAAGAGACAAAGCCTGCTCTCGCGACACCGAAGATCGCTGGCTGCTTCCAGAGAGGGACTCGAAGCAACGGCAGAGACTAATTATACTTCAGAGCGATGTTTGTTTCGTTCTTGTTCGTCGGAAAGACCGTGGTCCGCTGAAGAGGGGTTGCACCCACCATAATGCATCGCCAACCTGGGAAGTGAGGCGCCTGGTCGAGATGGTCGGAGCTTGTGGCAGCAGACGACACCACCTCTAGCACTAAAAACGGGACGGACGGTAAAATTAGTGGACGCCACATTCAAGTACCTTTCCACCATCCCTATAGTGTACGCGTAAACAGCAGGCAACCGCACAGTAGGCACCCATGCATGGCCAGACTCGAAAGATTTTTCGGTTCTCGAGAGCAGCACTCGAAAGGATTACGAAGAGGATATCCAAGACGAACAAGGTTTTCTTTTCGGGGTGAAGGAGGAAAGCGGAGGCTTAGGAGGCCAGATGCTCGGCGTCTGCGTCCTACAGCAAGGAGAAGGCGGGCTAGCAATAGAATCTTCATCTGCAAGTTTCGCCGTCGCACTTTTTGTTTTCTTGTCTTGTCTTGCCTCTTTCTTTATTTTTCCCACCTTTTTTTCCCTTTCTATTCCGGTCTCTTGCCTGCTTCTCCTGGTTGTTCGTCGGGCGGCCCTTGCTTTTGGTTGATTGTCAGATCAAGTTGCTCCTTTTGCGTCGCCGATCCGGCCAACCAACACCCTGGAAGTCAGTCCCACCCCCTCCTCAGATGTTTCTTCGTACTGTATTCAGAAACAGGAGGCTGTCACTGTGCACATGGTAGCTTCCGGCAGTGGATTGGGTGCCAGAGAAACAGGCTGGCCGCCCATCTTGGCTGTGGGCTGTACAGTACCGAGACGGAGTACTTTCTGGGCTGTCACCCAGTCAGATTGATACAAACACACCTAGACGCCACACCACCCTCCCCGGCTCCCATGCAACCCATGTCCACCCACCCTTGCTCCTTCCATCCCTTCCATCCCTTTCCTTCCCTCCCAAACTCAGCTCATACACTTCGACGTCCGAGGCTTCCCTTCCATCGCACTTCCCTCCTTTTTCCCTTTTCCCCCAGACGACCTTTTCTCCCATCTCAATTCCCCCAAACCACCTCAAAACGGCGACATCACCAGCAGCGAAGCAGAACGATCGGGCATTTTCCAACTGTCCATTTTACCTTCGCGCCTTCCTTAGATAATTAATCACTCCTTTAATCGAGGCTTTCAGTAGCTCTTGATTTATTTCGCGCCTTTTTCATTTTCTCTTTCCTTTTCGCACCACGTCAGTAGCCCGCGCGCATCGGTCGCAACGGCGCTGTATTCACTTGTTTGTTCGCCTCCCTTCCGCTCCCTGTTTTCTCCCTTATTCACCAAATACCCCTTTTCTCCTCTTCGCCGTCGCGGCTTTCTCAAAAGCCAATACCGCGGCTACACAGCACTATCTTTGGGTTTTAGTCAACTCATTTCGCCCTCCCCTTGCCAGCATATTCCTCGCCTTGAGCTGTTGTCGTCGAGAGGCAGCCTAGCTCAGTCCTGTCGGAACTAGGCTGCTGCGCTTCGAAGCATAATTCGCAATACTAACCTTGTGTTACGTCAGCCTCCGCATTTTTCCTTCTCGCATCGTGCGACAACAATAGCCAACGGCAACCACCTCAGCTTTCGCCACCGCAACCCCTGATCTCGTTTTCAACGCTTTGCGAATTTTCTCCTGCGCGCCGAAGAGCAGTCGATTCTCGCGACGAGGTATTACGCCCTCGTTGCGCCCCTCACTCCAGAGCATCCACATGTTTCGATTCTGGGGAGGTGATTCAAGGGGAGGTGAAGAGGGCATTAAGCTCGACCGACCCATGATTCACTCGTTTCCCACGCCCTCCGTGCATTTGATCCACCCAACGATAGCGACGTCTGGTGCTGGCGCTCTTGTGGCGCGTCCGCCCCTGAAGAGGGAGCGCGACGAACCTGCCCATGACCTTGCGCCAGCTGCCAAGCGCCCCAAGTCGTCCGAGACCGAGGACGCTACCGCGAACGACGCCAAGATTAGCGATGCCGAAGCTGCCGAAAGCCGACAGGAGAAGGTGCACGACTTGATTCAGTTCCAGTTTGGTCTGGAGATCCTCCACAAGCATGACGAGCTGCGGTTGATTGACCAGGAGCTTGCCAAGTGCCAGATCGCCTTGGAACAGTTGCGCCGTTGCCATCTCATCCCGTACCCGATCACATGCCCGACTCCGGATCAAATGGTTGAGATTGCTGGCGGCAAGGGACCTGCCCTTCGCAGGCCCGGCAAGGAAGTTCCCAGATGGGCGCCCCCTTCGGCGTTGTCGACGGCCCATATGCTAGGCATTACGCCAAGTGGCTCATCCCCGACCCCATGTTTGATGGTATGCTGCCTAACTGGCAGTCGCCTTATGACATGCGCAACGCGAGGGTGAGCGCTGAGGGTCGCACAACGAGGAACAGCGCAGGCGACGTGTCCGTTGGAAGCAAGCAGCGACCGGTACGCGGCAACGCGGGCCAAAAGCTGCAGTCGCTCATGGGTGGCTATCCTGCCCCCAAGGACAAGAACGGCCCTTGCACACTGAAGCGTCAATCTGACGGCCAAATCGTCAAGCTCGTCTGCCTCGACTGTCATCGCGAGAACTTTCTCAGCATCCAGGGCTTCATCAACCACTGTCGCATTGCTCACCGTCGTGATTTCAAGAGCCATGAGGAGGCCGCTATCCACAGCGGACACCCCATCGAGTCCAACGACAACGCCAAGACGCCCGCAGCGGCGAAGCCTGTTGTGGAGGAGCAGCCCAAACAGGTCATCTCACCCGTTGTGCCTTCAGCCACCGTTGTGCCGCCGCCGCCCTCTGGCCTCGTTCATCCTTATGCGCAAACCGATATGTCGCGGCAAGAAGCCTTCACCAACCTTCAGCTCAGGATTCAGGAGTCGCTTCGGCTCTACAAGCAAGGCAAGCACCCCAACGCCGTAGACATCCCTGTGGCCGCCAAACCCGCCGCCTCGAGCGGAAAGCTTGTGCCGGCATCGGATGCACCTTATTTGTCCCGCCTCATGAAGGCCCGGCAGTTCACTGGCGATCTTCAGCAGCTTGTCAGCGACGCCAAAACCGACATCTTTGATGACGACCTGTCTTCTCCTGGCTATGACATGGATGAGAGCGAGACACCCACGTCTGCGAGCCCCGTCTCTACGCCTCAGGTCCTGCGCATGCCCGCTGTCACGAGGCCCACCAGCAAGATTGGTCCTGCATCCATGCTCCCTCTGGCGACTCCTACATCAAGGAAGCCTGGTGAGCAGCCAGACGTCGTCATCATCCGAGACGATGATGATGACATGGACATGGACGCAGATCTCAGCCCGAACACCTCGGCGAGTAACAATGCTCCGTCCCTCGTTAGCGACGACGGCGAGTACGACGAGTCTGATGACGGGTCCTCGGAATCCGGTGCTAGCGACAACATGGAGGCCGAGTCACTGTCTGATGTCGCTGATATCGCCATGGACGACGACGCGCCGAGGTCGCTGCGCCACCACGGCGAGTCGGGCGCTTCCGCTGTCCAAATTCGCAAGGAGAACAAGAAGGAAGTCACCCTTGTCAGCCCCGTCAAGAATAACAACGACCGCAGAGGAGCGCGCAACGTCTAGGCTATACCGCATGCATAGCATTGCGCGCCACGTTCTCATTCAGTCCTGCTAAGGGTTTCCACCACCTTTTCTCCCCTCTTCTACACTTCACTTTCAATTCAAACACTCGACTCACTTTGCCCACCATACTCGCTTTTAGTCATGATATACTATTTCCTACTCGCCAGTCTTTTGATTTCTTCTTCCGCCATCCTCTTCACCGCTGTACACTGGTCTCCAGACTTCTGGGCCCTGGCCAGTGTTCACTTTTTTCTTCTTCTCGAGTCTCTGCAACGATTGCTTCCTTTGTTTCCTATCCTCTCTTCTTTTCTTGCATGGCGTTCAGGCTGTTGCGGAAGTTATCCTTCGTTGAATTTCATTGCCTGTTGTTGAATTCCATCCAGTTTTGTTTGCTCGATGCGTACCCCTTTTGTTCTTCGTCACATACAATGGGGGCGTGTGTCTTTTCTGTTTGTTACACTTGCTCCCGCGCGTTTATATCGTCTTTTTCTTTCTGGCCGTTGGTTGGGGTTTCTGGTTGGGGGAGTTGGTGCCGGGAAACGGAAATGCTTCGAGATTGCGCACAAACAGTTGGGGCCCTCTCGGGATCTGGAAAGCGGATGGGGAGCGGTTTCTTTTTTCTTTTCTTTCGTCTTTTCTCTTTTCTTTTCTACTTGTTCCTCTTGTGATTTCCGTCAACAGCGCCAAGGATACGAAAAAATGAAGCCACCGCAACGGAGACTAGAGATGGCTCAGACGGACGAGTTGGACGTCCAGGTTCTATGCCCATCTTGCATCTCGTGCTTGGCTAGGAGGAGTTGTTTTGACGCAACCCACTCCTTCTCTTTTCCTGTTTTTCTTGTTCTTTTTATTTCTCTTCAGATGGTCTTTGTTTCTGCTTCATATTCCCTTTTCTTGTTTTCTTTTCCCTTGAACCTCTCCAACGCCCTCCTCTGTATGATTGTTGTTTTCTTGTCTGAAAAAGCGCAAGGAAGGAAGAGAAGAAGTAGAGGTTCAAAGAAGGGGGCCATATCTGTGTATATTATTTTTGGCCCAGGAAGGGAACGGAGCGCGGGGATTTACCAAACTCTCCATCGCCTCCCTAACCCTACCAACTAAAAACGGGGCTGGAAAATAGCTGGAATGAAAATAAAGGCTTGAACACAAAACAAGCTGTTTCAAAATCTCGACGTCCATCATGCTCGTCCAACGTAATATATGTATGCCTGGTAGTGCGATATCTAGCTGCCTTTGTAGACTCACCTATGCTTGTTGTTACGCTCTGGGGGTATGTAAGTTTGGGCATAAAGTGCCGCCGGTAACCCTTCTGCATCGTGCTGCTTCTCTTAAGTAAAATAGGAGGCAATCATCGACACCTGCTACCTCAATCCTCCAGCTCGAATTTCGTTCATGTGTTTGGCGGTCACATATTAATCAGTGCAAGCTCCAAGAGTGAAAATCCCAGTAAGCAAAAAAAGACACTGGCTTCATGCTGTCGCGTCGCACGAGTGTCGTCTCTTCCCCCAAACCCCATACAGCCAATCAGCGGTTGTAGATTTGCGGTGGAGCCAACACATGAAAGACGGGATGGGACGACAGCCAGCACATGATTACTGATGTGGATTGTTCCGGATTCCTGGACCTTGTCCTCCATAGTATGTATTTGGCTGGTTCTCTTTCCGCTTGAATGCTGATTGAAGGCGATTCGGTTTCTCAATCGAAAACCCACTGGGCCGTTAGAGAATTAGGGAACAACATTGTAGTGCCGCGATCAAGCTGGCGGAGAAAAAAGAGGGAAAAAAGCGCGTCGCGTCGCACTGGCAACGGCTGGACCTCTATGGAGAAGCAATAGGGCTATCCCAGACATTCTACATCACGTATCAAGTTTACCAAAGGAGAAGTAAAGATCAAAAGAGTCAACGAATGGTATGTGGTATATTTTAATGAACGTTGAAAAAAAAAAAAAAAATCAAGCCACCTCTCCACGGCTTCCAGTCAAAGGTTTTCTATGTGCTTTTGGTGGCACATCGCAACGAGCCACCCTCCCCCAACACACCCCTAAGATCTACTCCTTGTCCCGCGTTGATCGTTTAGACGATGACGGCCATGACACCGGCAACGGCGAGGAGGACACTGCCAGCGTTCCTGGCGAGCTCGGCAGCGGAGCCGGGGCTGTTGTCGGCGGGAGCGGCATCACCGGTGGAGGTGGCCTCGGACTCGTCAGTGCCGGTGGTCTCGGCGGCGTTGTTGTCGCCCTTGGCGGTGGGGGTAGCGACGGCGGTCTTCTGGCTGGCCTTGGCGCCGTAGATGGAGGCGTTGCCGCAGTAGATGCTCACTTGGCCCTCGGCCTGAAGCTTGCGAGAGTCGCCGGGGCAGTTGTTGTAGCAGCTATAGTGTCGAACCCAAAAGTGTTAGTGTTCTGTCTACCGTAGGATAATGGTATACTGGGATCCTTTTGAGAATCTCCGGTCTTTCAAACGTACGTGGAGATGGCCTCCTGGGCGGCGCACTGGCAGTCGTAGTCGGTCTGACCGCAGGCCTCGAACTTGAGGGTCTGGGACTCGAGGCAGTTCTGGACGATGACCTCGGCGGCACACTCAGTCTCAGCGGCGGAGACGGCGGCGGCGAGGAGGGCGAGAGGGAGGAAGAACTTCATGTTGGCGGTAGGGGTTGGTTTGGTTTGGTGGGTTTTTGAGAAGAAAGACGGCGAGAGAAAAAAAGAAGTTATTAAAAGATTAAGAAGAAAGTATTAAACGATGAATATGTACTATTATCGTGAGTGCAAAAGAAACAAACTGAAGGAATCGAGTGATGATTCAACGAGTGGAGCTTGTGAGGGATGGAGAAGAAGAAGAGGGAAGGAAAGAAAGAGGAAGGAGATGAGGACCCGGTTTGGTTTAATATCGAGACATGGGGCAACGGGGAGCTGGGAACTGGGGGTGGAATTGTGTTCCTGGGCTGGAGAGCTTTCGGGCCCCAGCGTTTGCGGCCCGGACGTGATGAGATTGAGGAAGGGGAGAAGGGGGGTGTATTTTGGCGTAGTGTGTGGGTGGTTCAGTGGAGACTGCGGGCACTACTCCAACGCACACAGCATTCGGAGGGAATACACCGTTCAAACGGCAAAACAGCAGCTACGATGCACAACAGAGACCCCTGTCAAGAAGCAGAATGCAGAGAATGAATCAAGCCATTCGATCCCATCCCGTAAGATGCTCAAGGTGGGCGAATGGGGAAAATGACCAGAAAAAACAAGTTGACTGTTGCTGCGTTCCCTGGTGCGGAAGCCAAAACAATGCAAATGTCCGGTTGCTACTTGAGCCTCCAACCGGCGAGGCAATGGGGGAATTACTACGGACCACTAGTGAGGAGAGGACTTGTTTGCGTCCAAGAAGCAATGGTAATGGGGACCTTCTCCTTGTCAAGATCGCACTCTGGTATATTTTCGAGGTTTGAAGATATCAGTCTCCGCGGGTGATCACGATCAATGTTGAGCTTGCCTGATCACTCATCAACAATCATAATGGGGGAGGAAAAGCACAGCGACGGGGGTGCGCGCTACAAGAAAAAATGATTCACTGGCCTGAGCAGGGGTTGGGAGTGGAAGATGGGGGAGTGGGAGTGGGACGGACAAGGACTAGGGCCCGGCCAATGCACATCCACGAGTGAAATGAGGAGTGGTGCTGGAGATTAGGATTGCATTGATGGCTTTTCTTCCCAGATCACAGAGCTGCAGAGCCTTGTTGTGCCACCCTCAAGCGATTCAATCAGAATGGATATTATTATATGGAGGGATGGCTTGGCTTGGACCAGACAGATGTTGTCGACCGATCATTCCATTGAGGGAAACGTGAGAGGGGAATCATCTACACTACACTAGAGGGTTCGTCTCACTCTCGGACAAGAAAATATCGAGTGCATCTGGCTCTGTTCCCCATCGGCAAGAGGTACCGACGCTTGGCCGGCAACTTTCCATGCTCACAATTCAGGTACCAATCTCGGGGATTCCCTGAGTGAATGCCCGCATCGAGCTTAGTCTGGTGGACAGCTGGGGGTCCTCTTTGGCCCCTTTTTCGATTGCTCTCCCCCAGATTGGTCGGGGAGGAGTCCATTACGACAGATGTAAGCCTACTCCCAAGATTGAAGTGCTGTGGCGTTTCCTCTGTCCTTGTGCCTGTGGCTACGACGATGACATGGATGACTCCGGTCATGGGGGACCTGCACCGCAAACGTGAGAGCGCGATGACTCGGGTTTAGGAAATGGGCCACAGGCCAGCCAGGCCTGACCATGCCCGCTGCCGCAACAGCTCATAATAATGCATGGACATGGTGTTCCCGGGCTTCTGGTAGGTCCATGAATCCTGTATTTAAATCTTGGCCATTCTCAAAAAAAAAAAAAAGTCTCCAGCCCGGCTCCTGCATCCGACCGACCCCAGGTCCAGGACCCTGGTTTATCAAGAAGAAAAAAGCAGACGATTCAAGATGGGAACACGCCCACACGGCGATTTCTGTCCTGTGGGCTGAGGAATACAAGCAATTTCTTGGCCTTTGGGGAAGAAGCAAGTTGGTGCAGGCAAATACTTGTAGGTGTGCGGGAGATGGAGTGAAGTCGTCAGCTTCGACCTGAGGACCCAGCCGGCGGAGGACGCTTTTACGTCCAGTTTTTGACGTGTGCATTTGAGCAGAGGGAACACGAAGGAGGGCCACCCACTCCTCCATCCCCCTCGATATTAAAGATACGAATTGGCGGCCCTCTGCAGGACCCGTGTTGGCGAGTTGGGGGATGGTCACGGAGCACTGGGCTCTAGTCTACTTGTAGTTCCACACATATCCCCTCGTATTCTCCTACCAGTGAGCACGGGAACCCCCACTCGACCAGTGGGACGTCCGACTTTGGGCCCATCGAACCAAAAAAAAAAAAAAAAAAAAAAAAAACCGCTCTACTCAATTGTAGTGTAGTATTCGTCCGTTCCGAGGGGATGCAGCGGCTGGGCCGGTGGGGAGGCGGGAAACAGAGGGGGTGGTGCTCTGCACTAGCGGATGCATATTGCTGTGCATTAGACCTGTGTCCAGGGATTTCTCCATACGCTTCAATGTAATAATCGCTTACCGTCTTCGAGGCTCTGCCAACCCCGGACGATCTCCCCTCACCCTTTTTCTGGGGTTTAGCAAAGGATCTGAAATATCATCGAATACCGAGGTACAAGGTCAGGCGTATCAATTCGATCCATACCTTGGTATTAAAATCATGATCATCTTGAGGAATGTCTCCAGGTGAATCTAGATGCTAAACCAACCGTGGGATATGATAAACCAGAGAGATTTCCCAAAGGCTGGCACAGATGAACATCAGAATCCCGCGCTCTCGACGGATGAAGATCATCCTCCCGCCTCTTCCTCGGGTGTTGGGCGTCCCCGTTACCTTGCATCTACGGATCCACGGCGCTGGAGATGGCCAGACCCGCGTCCGGTGCTTGACACGGACCCCGAGAGCTCACCTCCGGAGACTGTTTGATAGGGCCACACAGAGTCCCTTCCTCCCCTCTATGCCCTACCTTTGTTGCTTCTTTTCTCAAGCCACCCGCGCGATTCACCGTACTCACTATCCTATTTTGTGCGCTTACCCTCCTCCCTCTTTTGTCTCTCGGACGCAGCAGCGAGCTTTTAGTGATCAACAAGGAACCCTTCTCACATTTCCACCCCTTTGGCTACTGGGACCGGTTCATGCATGTCTCAGCACCGGCCAACCACCCTCCAAAACGACGGCTTGGGACGATAGTGGTGAGCCAGAGCGAGAGGACCAGACTAGTCGAGGGAGAGGAAGAGGGACCCACTGGCCTTCCCCGGCGGAGCTCCCCAAAGTAGTTTCAACCCACGACTCAGAAGGTGAGGTTGCTCCGGGAAAGTTCATGTATAAAAGCAAACATTTGGAACCCGCGTGACGTTGGTTTCCCCTCGGCTCTTCGGGGGTGTATGGGGAAGGATGGTGATATAATCAAAGAAAGAATAGAAGAGGTGATTGCGATGAAAGTGTCCTAGCACCTGCAGGAACACCTTTGACCTGTTTGATTGCTTTGTGAGAGGGGAGATTACCTAGAGCTCTAGGCGTTTGAATAAATGGGGGAGCTGGCTATTATAGCAATAGATAAAGGGATCGAACTTAGTAGCTTCTTATCATCATACTTGAGTTCAGAGAGAGCTTCTAATATTCTCCTTAAGTATTTAAGATTCTATCTATCTTTCTTCAACTACTAATATTCACAATCTATGAATGCTCATACTCCATACCAACATAAAGGAGGTCTACTAAGTAAGATAAATAAACCTCTAGGGCTAGTTAATTCTAGGTTTCCTATTGAAGAGGTATAGCTTGATAAGAGCTGTTAGTAGAGTAGGTTTTATTGAAAATTGGCCCCTTAATCACCCTGGTGAGGGCTATTTCTATGATAGCTTCATTCCTTTGAGATGGCCCGCAAGGTCAAGCTGGATTGGTATCTGCTGGCAGTTGATATCAGCTGCTCTGCTCAAAGACTTGGCGGCGACGTAATTCCACAGCCAGCTTTCGTTTTTTTTCTTTGAGGCAAGGGTTGAGCAGGGTGCACAGACCACATCTGACGGCAGCAGCTTGATGTTGTCAGGCCTCTTTCACTAGGCAAGGCTGCCATTTCACGTCAAATTCCTGCTAGAGCTTCTGTCTACCAGGCTTCGTCTCGGCTCTTTTTCTTTGTTCGACACCATCATATTATCCCAACCCACCCCTCTAAGCTTGTGAGCGGCGTACAATCCTGAAAAAGTAAGTCGATTTATCCTTCTTAGTCCATTTGTCCCCTCAATCTGTTCCCAACTCCGTTCTATCGGGCTTCTGGAGAGGTATTGGGCCAGAGAGCTTCCCAGTCTCGAATCCCTTCCGCGCGCGCGCGTCGGGTAGCCCCGCCACGGCGAGCTCGCCCTACGAGGTCGGGCACTTTGCGTTCCCCTTTGCAATGGCTAACGAGAACTGTTAGGCGTCGGTTTCCTCGAATAGCATATACTATCCTTGATAATATATAATAGCGAAAACGATCCTGTACGTTTGTCGGCATATTGCGATAGGCGATTGCTCCCCCTCTTGCCTGAATCCCGAACCCTCCTCCCCTTCTGACTCGCCATCAATCTAACCGCTATGTTTTTCTCTCCCTTGATAGATTAGCCCACACCGATCCAGCCCATCATGTCCGAAGAGCACAAGCAAGAAGACCCAATCCCTAATGACCCGCCGTGGGCACTACGGGTGAAGAGGGCACTGAAGAGGAGGTACGCTTTGTGTTACGCGTTGTGTGTGATTTGTTTTTCTTTTTCGTTTCCACCTCGAGTCCGCCCCCAAGCCCGCCGCCGCCTGGGTAGCCCCTTCCGTACCACGGAATCCACGAGGTGCCTTGAAGGGCCTGCGTGAGTCCCCGTGCTGCGCAATGGCGAGCAAAGGAGGAAGAAGACGACGAAGGGGGAAACGGCCCGCTGTCTTGGTCGAATATATACTGAAACAAACCCATTGTCTATTTTTCTTTGAATAGGAGGAGATCTCTGCCATGAAGCAGCGCGTGGCTGAGATGGAAGAGGAGGCGGCCAAGCTTCGGGAGATGCAGGCCAGCCTCAACCAGCAGGCCCACGAGTCCTCGGACAACAAGGAGGACATCGACAACCGAAGCATCTTTGTCGGAAACGTCGATTACTCGGCCTCGCCCGAAGAGATTCAGGCTCACTTCCAGAGCTGCGGTTCCATCAACCGCGTCACGATTCTGTTGGACAAGTTCACGGGCCAGCCCAAGGGGTAAGTGTTATCCGGCGCCCACTCCGTTCCACCTTTAAATACCCTATCCCGAGCAGTTCGATCTTCTTCCCCAGACATTTCCCCGGTTGTCGACACTCACCTGACGGCTTGCCGCTAACATGCACCACTCTCTTCTAGCTATGCCTACGTCGAATTTACCGAACCAAGCCTCGTTGCCCAGGCCCTCGTTCTTAACGAGAGCGTATTCAAGGGCAGGAACATCAAGGTTGTCCCCAAGAGGACCAACATTCCCGGCATGGGCCGCGGCCGTGGCCGCGGTGGCTTCCGTGGTGGTGGTGGTGGTGGTGGCCGTGGGTTCATGGGCGGTCGCGGTTTTCCTCGTGGTGGCGGCTACCGTGGAGGCTATCGGGGTCGTGGCAGGGGTGGCTTCCAGCCCTATTAGTAGTACAAGATGTGGACGGAGTCTGTATAGAACTGGTTTGGATGATACTTCAAGGCGAAGAAGGAGTGAAGAGGAGAATGGCGAAGAGGCAATCCGAAAGAAACAAATAAAGTGCGCACACAAGCCGGGGAGGGCTACTGGACAGGGTTAAAAGACAAAAAATCAGGGCAAACGGGACGGGATATTTCTTTTCTGCTTTACTTTTCTCTTCTTATCTTTTCTTTTTTTCCTTTCTCACCACGGCGTTGATTGATCCCTACATGTAAACACTTGTTATTTCTCAGCGCGATTCTTGCTAGATTCTTGTCTTTTTTTTTTTCCCCGGCGTTTCATATCGAAACGATTGGAAGCGACTGGCGTTATAAAGGCCATAGGCTTGGCCCTGGATGCGTCTTTGACGTCGTTGTTTCTTTTTCTTGTCTTTGTCTTTTTTCTTGGGCCCAAGGTATCTTGTTCCATATTTCCGTTGCTCTTTTCATGCTGGTTAGTGCCCTCCTCTTGCAGATCCGAGGCATCTATCTCGGCTTGGCACGTCAAGTACGCTTCTCCACGAGTGTGTGGTGAGGGAGAAAGCCTGACGGCGCTCTTGGCCATGGGTCCTGTATCTACATGTAGGTTTACCACAAGGCTGGCGGCCATCATGTTGACAGCCACTACGGGATTCAGGGTCTGACTTCCTCTTCGGATGGAGAGGAAAGGGCATATCTAGTTCCCCCTCTCTTAGAGGCGCCCGTCGACAAACCCCAAATATCTTTTGATAGAGCATGGAAGGGGTTTAGCTTCATCCATCCTAACACATGGAGGTGAAGACATCACGGTATTCTATCCTGACTTGAGTCCTACAAGGTCTATATTTCGAGAGAAACTCTTAGCCCTCAGCCGACGCATTCTGTAAGCTGTGCTCGTACACGCTGGCAGACGTCGAGAACTTGATGGATTTGGCTTGCAGGAGGGGGCTTAAGGGAAAGAATAGCAATCGCTCTATCGCGGGAAGGGGAACTGGGAGCGGACGGGCGTCCCGAAGACGGGTGGCGAAGAAGCCCCGACTAGGGCTGGGTCAAGACTACTGCATATTGACGGGGGTTCCGGTTTCTGAGAGATACGCGGATGACCAAGCGGTCACCTAAGATAATATCTCCCGATCCCCCTTGTTAGAGCACCCATGATTTTGAGTAAACATAAGGCGGTGGCCAATACGCGATCGGAGTTAAGGAGCAGGTGAAATCGGCGAAGGGTCAGAGGCTTAGCCTTACAGTCTAGTCCTGACCTCTGGGCTGGGACAGTTTAATGGGTGGGCTTAGGACCGGTGACTACGGGGTGCAGGCGGCATCGATGTGCAAGTTCAGTCGATCAATGTGTAAACTCGAGCCGGGAGTGGATTGAGTTGACGGCTTGCGGGGCGACGCCCTTGCTCTTGGGTGTGTTTGTGGCCATTGTTCGCACGTCTCAAAGTGCCAAAAGGGCTCGGAGCTAGGCGACCGGTTTTGGGTTGCAGTTTAGAGTAGACGGAGGGATGATCAGCATTGAGAACCATCGCTTCGCTCACTTGGTGTTGTGTCGTCGGCACTGTTCAACCAAAAAGAAAAGAGAGGAAGCACAGTACTTGGAGTATCGGGGATTATGTACCGATGACATTTGATCCGCGTCGAAAACTGGAGAATCGACTGGATGATGTTGGGCAGTCGGAGCAGTGTAGTAGGTCAGTCGACTGATTGTGCTTACCCACCAACTGTACTAGCTGGGGGCTCCATCAAAGGGGTGGGGGCCTCAAACTTGTGGGAACTAGTCGGAGGAGTGGGTTATGACGCTGAACACTGGCACATCGGTCGCAGATACAAGGGTTTGCGACTCAGCTCCCACCTGCCGCGCCGTACCAGCTACTTGGCCGGCAACTACCCCGCCACCGCTCGCGAAGGACCAACACGAGAGAATGCGATGGGTGCGGCTTGCTTTGCAAATGTTACAGCACTTTGTGTCAGCGAGGAGTAATTCGGCCTCAGGTGCTCATGGTTTCGGGGTAAGAAATCGTCGGCGAAAACTGAGAATGATGATTGATGAGAGAATACATTGATTGCATGGGCCAAAAGTAATCGAGGAGCTGGAGGCAGCCCACGCTCGGGAAGAAATGGAACCTTGAACATCCAAGTCGAGGGGCCAGCGAGCGCCCCATCCGCTTGGGGGTTCGACGGTACTGCGACCTTGGCGGCGTCGAGGCAGGTACTGGCTGGATTCGAGTTGATCAATTGATCCAGTGTCGTTGTTACATATCACCGGGAATAGTGTAGTGCATTGATGGCGGGGATGCTTCATCGACACAGGTCGAACCTGCCTCCTCCGTCCACCAAGAGGCTCGATTTAGTTCAATGTTCCGCTCCAACAAAGTACCACTCGGCCCCCCTTCCCTCTTCCCCAAGTCGTGCTCGATCCCTCCATCAAGGCTTTCTGTCCATCCCGCCCTTCTGCCGCCTGAATTGATGCGACTTCTGGCCCCTCTGTAACCTCCTGTCAAGGTCAGCAACTTCACAAAAGGCCCCGGCTTCCTAGAGCGAGACATTGACCTCCTCAATCCGACAAGGGAACTGATCTGAACGCAAAGAATCCTAGAGGGTTCCCCTTGTTCATACTCGGCCATTATTTTTTTATTTTCCTCATCCCCGTTTCTTCTTTCTCGCTCCAACCTATAGTATTTCTTTTGAACATCGCTTCTTCATCAGTTCGTGGCATAGAAATTGAAGGCTTCTGTGTTTGCAGCCAGTGCACGCTGCCACACTCACACACACACACACGCCCCCATCCCCTCTTTGCACCCCGCCGAACCGTTTCCTTCGAGCCACTCCTTCTGACTCCTCATTTCTACGTCCAACATCGGCCTTGCCGCCCGCCACCGCCGCCCCTTCCCCTCCGACCTGCTCTTCATCGATTTCCGCTTTCCGTTGTTTCCAGTGCCTCGCCCGAACAACCCCAAAGAAAGGTCTTGCAAATTCGACAATTTCGAAGACAATCAATTTCCTCTCCGCTCTCTAGCATTCCCGATCGAGTAAGCATTGTCCCAGGCGTGGCTCTAGTTCGAGCTGGTGTCAACTCCCCCTCCGCCCGCTCCCCTTCCTCTCATCCTCTTCGCCCTTTGAGAGCTGCTCAAGAATATCTACTCCCGTCGAGCTGCCGCAGACACACGCACGACCCCAGAAATTGGAGCTCGGGTGATCAGACCCGTGGAATTAGTGTGGAGGAGGCGATTCGACGCCTCAGCGATACACTATCTCTGCCTGTTTTTTTGCACAGCCTCCCACCGTTTTCCTCATTCCACCCCACCGCACCTTTTCCCACCCTTGCTTTCAATATCGATCCGCCAGTCTTGGGATAGACCTTCACTGCCACAAATGACGGGAGTCTCCCAAACGGGTTGGTGGACACGTAACTGACACACACGCGGCGCCCGTTGCAGCTAGAGAGGGCAGGGAGCTTCGCCCTGTCGATTTCCCAGGAGAGCCGAACATTCCCTTTGTCAACGCCCTGCGGCCTCGAACTACTCAACGCTGACTCTGCACCCCCGATTTCCTTTTCCCTCCTTTCGAAGCACGAGGACGAAGTTCCGAGCATCGTTTCCTCCCGCACACCGAGACCGACAGGCAAGACCGAGTCTCGTTACGGCCTCCCGGGCCTCTATTCCTCCCTGCGCCGAGAGAAGAAGAAAACCCCGCAACAAAATCACAGTAGAGACTCTTTGTCGCCGGGCTTTCCCGCGATATCATGACGTCCCGAATGGATGCTGGGCTTCCTGGGTATGTTGGTTGATCTTGATTGATTGCTCAAAACTGTCGGGGTTGTCCATATGCCGCCGTCGGTGGATGGGTCTGGGCGACCGACAACTCTGTTTTACCCTGCACTCGTCTCTATATATATATGACATACTAACGGCATATGCTGGTGTTTTGTTTAGCAATCCAAACCTGCGAGTGACGAGTACGACCCAGCTTGCCAATCTTTCAAGTCTATTTCCCTCATATAGCGGGTCACGGTTCTAACAACATTACTCTATTCTAGTTATTGCCGCTGATGGCCTAGCTAAGCGAGATGTCTTCAGTATGTGTGATGCTTCAACCGTGCTCCTCGCGCAGCTTATTTAGGGGTATAAATGCTGACTTGGCTCCGATAGGATTCCCGGATCCCTTTGCGGTTGCCACCGTTAATGGCGAGCAGACGCACACGACGACTGTGGCGAAACGAACGTTGAACCCTTACTGGAATGAGAGCTTTGATTTGTACGTATGCTGTTCCCTTTTCTTTTGGGGATATTTTCGCTGACCATCTTTGTGTAGCCGCGTGACTGAAGACAGCATTCTCGCCGTCCAGGTCTTCGACCAGCGCAAGTTCAAGAAGAAGGACCAGGGCTTCCTTGGTGTCATAAACGTCCGGATTGGAGATGTTATTGAGTTGGCCCTGGAGGCCGATGGTAATTTCACTTCTACCCTTCTTGCCCCTCCTCTCCTATCTCTCCGACATGGAACTAACCAATAATTCCCCTCTCCCAGATCAGATGCTCACTCGGGATCTCAAGAAGTCGGCGGATAACCTTGTGGTTCATGGAAAGTTAATAGTCAACCTCTCCACCAACCTCGCGAGACCTCGGAACGGAGGTGGCTCCGGACCCCCTGCCGCCGGAAGCTCCGCGGCCGCCTCGAGCTTAGCCCCGTCGACGTCGAATTTGGGCTCGTCTGACACTCGGCCGACTTCTTCCATGTCCGGCCAGAACGGTGTTCCTGCTCCGGGCCAACAAGCGCAAATACCGATTCGACCGGCCAGCATCAACTCAGCAGCGGCGCCAAGCCAATCGTCCATCGCGCCTCCAACAGCGCCGCCAACCGCAGGAGGACCCTCATCTACATCCACCTTCCCAGGGCGGCAGGCATCCTCTCAACTGAGCCCCTTCGAAGATGCCCATGGGCCGTTGCCTGCTGGCTGGGAGCGTCGGGAAGATAATCTGGGCAGAACTTACTATATTGATCACAATAGGAGAGCTACGAGCTGGAAGCGGCCGTCTGCTAACGGCACGGTCGAGTCCCGGGTCGATCGCGAGGCAGCTACCCAGGTAGAGCGGCAGCGTCACTTGAACCGTACCCTTCCCGAGGACCGCACGGGTGCAAGCTCACCCACGCTCACGCAGCCTCAACCGCAACCCCGGTACAACAGTCACAGCCGCCCCCAGCCACGAGCCCGTCGCAGATGGCCGTGGCCGGCTCCACCACGCAGCCCGGTACCGGAGAGCTTCCCCGGCTGGGAGCAGCGATTCACTCCCGAGGGCCGACCGTACTTTGTTGACCACAACACGCGAACGACCACCTGGGTGGACCCCCGGCGCCATCAGTACGTTCGTGTCTACAGTCCTAACAACAATTCGGGTGGTTTCCAGCAACAGCCCGTATCGCAGCTCGGCCCCCTACCTAGCGGATGGGAGATGCGGCTTACCAACACCGCTCGCGTCTACTTTGTCGACCATAACACCAAGACGACAACCTGGGACGATCCGAGATTGCCATCGTCGCTCGACCAGAATGTGCCCCAGTACAAGCGTGACTTCCGCAGGAAGCTCATTTACTTCCGATCGCAGCCCGCGATGCGCATCCTCTCTGGTCAGTGTCACATCAAGGTGCGACGATCTCACATTTTCGAGGATTCGTTTGCAGAGATTCAGCGGCAGTCTCCCACCGACCTGAAAAAGCGTCTAATGATCAAGTTTGACGGCGAGGACGGCCTCGATTACGGTGGTCTATCCCGAGAATTCTTCTTCCTCCTCTCGCATGAGATGTTTAACCCCTTTTACTGCTTGTTCGAATACTCGGCACACGACAACTACACGCTGCAGATTAACCCTCACTCAGGTATCAACCCTGAGCATCTCAACTACTTCAAATTCATCGGTCGCGTTGTTGGTCTTGCCATCTACCACAGGCGTTTCCTTGATGCCTTTTTCATCGGAGCCCTGTACAAGATGATCCTCGGAAAGTCTGTTGTGCTAGCCGATATGGAAGGTGTCGATGCGGACTTCCACAGGTCCCTCCAGTGGATGTTGGATAACGATATCTCGGGCGGCATTTTGGAGCAAACGTTCTCTACTGAAGACGAGCGCTTTGGTGTCGTTACTGAGGAGGATCTTATACCCAACGGCCGCAACATTGAAGTGACCAACGAGAATAAGAAGGAGTATGTTGACCTCATGGTCAAGTGGCGAATCGAGAAGCGCATCGCCGAACAGTTCCAGGCTTTCAAGGATGGCTTCCAAGAGCTGATTCCTCAGGACCTCATCAACGTGTTTGATGAGCGCGAGCTTGAGCTGCTCATCGGCGGTATCGCTGAGATTGATGTGGACGACTGGAAGAAGCACACCGATTATCGTGGATACACAGAGACGGATGAGGTCATCCAGTTCTTCTGGCAGACAATCCGCTCGTGGGATGGTGAGCAAAAGTCGAGGTTGTTGCAGTTCGCCACGGGTACTTCGCGTATCCCCGTCAACGGTTTCAAGGATCTCCAGGGCAGTGACGGCCCAAGGAGGTTCACTATCGAAAAGGCTGGTGATATTAATAACCTGCCCAAGGCGCATACTTGGTACGTCCCCCTGTCCTTATTATTAAGACTAGTTTTACGTCGTCTCGAGTGGATTCAAGGAGGTGTCTGGTTTCTTGTTCATGACTAACCTATCGTTCTTTGTAGCTTTAACCGCCTGGATCTGCCCCCTACAAGTCGTTGGAGATGCTCCAGGGCAAGCTCACAATTGCTGTTGAGGAAACTATGGGTTTCGGACAGGAGTAAATGCGAGAACTAAGAGCTGGGCTCATTGCTTCTCAGCTGCGGCAGCGGGCCATATCCCCGCACGTCTATAGGTGTCCGGGTTTGTGTGTGCGAAGGCGTCGTGTCGATGTCGTCACTGCACTGTTGTTGCGAAGCACAAACAATGTATTATCTTGTCGTGGCCGAGAGCAAGAGAAAAGCACCCCCTTTCAGCGTCTTCACTCACCACCCTCTCGGGTGTCTTTGTTTTTCTTTTGATCTCGCTCTCTATCACTCTTGTTTTCTCTCACTCTCTTTTTCTTCTTCTCTTATAGCGAACGGATGTGCTTTATGATGGTTCTGGGGTGGAGGAGTGAAAGGAGGGGGACACCTGCGGAGAAGGTTGATTGGCATGAACCGAAGCCCGGATTGCGGGGCCATGGAGAGGCACGGCCGAAGGGACACTAGGTCTTGGACAATAAGCAGATGCCAAGATGGTAAATCCGTAGCGCATTTTTATGATTCAATGATAGAGGAGTAGATGTGGAATTCTAGCAACTCTTGTGGCTTGTCCTCTCTAGCTCAGTATCTCCTAACGCTCGAATGAATGACTATCTCTGGCTCGAGTTCCATGAGGGATTGGTCCATTATGGGTGGGACCGAGAGTGCCTCTCGGCTCTTCCATGTAATGATGGATCTAGATCAAGAGATCATCGTGTTCAAATCTACCGAGGTACCCGCCTTGCTTCTGCTACCGGGGCTCCGTTTTGCGTATGAACGAACCCTTGTATTCCCCGTAGGAAGAGAGGTTGCATACAGGATGGTAGTTTATGCTTGATCCTGTGACAGGAGAGAAAGAATAGGCAAAAAGGGAAGGGTGGATGGGATGCCATGCTTGCCATCCTTGTGCAGTGAGAGTACATGTAGAGTCACGGTGCATGGAACGCTCTGGGTAATTTGACTTTTTTTTGTTCTGTATTTTTGGTCCTCTACACAGACAACGCGTTCCAATTCTCAACCCTCCCCCTTTATCCATCAACACACGCGGCTACAAGTGGCGGGTTCGGTCGAACGGTGACCACGGTGCTCGCCGCGCGCCTCTGGCTTCGGATCGTGGCTCTATCTATGTACACATCCTAGAAGACAAGAGGAAACGATGGAAAAAAGAAACCAGAAAAAAAAAGGCGAAACAGAAAAAGAAAATTGCAAGGGTGGGGGACGCAAAGAAAGGGTAGGGGAGGAGGAGCCTTGAGACGAGGGGATACAAAACTGAAGGGGGTGGTGGGGGCGCTCCAGTAGACTCGTCTCGAAGGGTGTTTTTTAACAATAGGGAGGAGGAGGACAATGATGATGGGGGACGCGGAAAAACAACGACAACGCCTTTCTGGTTTCGGATAGAAGTTCCGTCCCAACCCGCAAGTAAGACACACAGAAATAAGGGGTTTTGTTTTCATCGGATGGAGAACAAGAGGGGAGTGGGAGCCCGAGAGGAGGGTTTGTAGATTGTTCGCGGACCCTTTCGTTTACTTGCGGTACCACATTCTCGTAATCTTGGTATTCCTCATCTTCCTCTGGAGCTGGAAGATACCTGTATTCGACAATTGTCCATTAGCAAACTAGCTCGATAGAAGGGGGCGAGAATGGCTAGAAGTGGTGAGGGATATGCTACTCACCGTACATGAGCGCCTCGCTTGTGGGAGGGCAGCCGGGGACGTAGACGTCGACGGGCACGATTCGGTCGCAGCCACGGACGACGCTGTACGAGTAGTGGTAGTAACCACCACCGTTGGCGCAGCTACCCATGCTGATAACCCATCGAGGCTCGGGCATCTGATCGTAGACCTGTCGAAGAGCGGGGCCATCTTGTTGGTGAGGGTACCGGCGACAATCATGACATCGGACTGGCGAGGAGAGGCACGGAAAATGATTCCGAGACGATCCTGATCGTATCGAGGGGTGGAAAGATGCATCATCTCGACGGCGCAGCAGGCGAGACCGAACGTCATGGGCCAGAGGGAGGATTGACGGGCCCAGTTCGCCATGATATCGAGGGTGGTGCTGTTGCAACAAGCAGAGAGGTTAGCTTCGACATTCTCGTCCCAAACCCCCATGTGAGGCTTTTCCGGGCGAAGAGGCCCACGATGCACGGAGCAGGTGGATACACGTACAGCGCATATTGAACGAGGCCCTTGGTGGGCTCCTGGCTAGGAGGAGAACCTCCTTGCGGGGAACGGAGCTGGCGCCGTGGGGGCGAGGGAGCTGGCTTTCCGGGTCGAGGGAACGGACGCGATTGGGAGGATGGACCGGTGGGCGACGAGGGCCGACGAAGGCTTGGCTATTGTGTCGAAAAAATTTAAAAATTAGCAATTGTCAAAGCCTAATTGATTGACACAAGAGAGACCAAAGTCCGACGTGTTGGACTGCCGGGGATTCGTGGGCCCAAAATAACAGATAAGGTCGGATGGCCGGAAGGGGGCACCAGCAAAATTGCCGAGGCGCGGGAGTCCCCGAAGAACAAAAACGTACCACGAAGGACCAGGAGGCCGCCGTCCTCGTTGTCGGCAGCATCATTGTATCGAGCTCTAGACGATGAGGAACCGGGAGATGAGGGTTGGAGCGGAGAAGGGGTGATGGGAGCCGCAATTGGAGGGGGTTGAGAGGACGACGCTGCGGGTATTGTGTGGCAATTTGATGATGCTCGAGGTTTTCGAGGTTGACGTTGAAGGTTCGAATTTCAGCGTGTGATTACCAGGGCTCTGATTGGCTGAATTGGGACGGTTTGCGGTTGCTTATGTAAGGCGATTGAGAGGTTGTGGTGGCTTGTGTGGGTCTTTGTCCCCAGTTGGTTTGAGTGAAGGCATCACGATCGAAATATACACTGACTACCTGCTAAAGCCTACATAGGAGACTCTATTAGCATTAGTGAGTAATAATTGAGAGATAATCCACAAGGTCTTCCAGTCAACAAAAGCATATGTTTTAAGCGCAGGGACGAAGACCAACAGGCTGGCGAGGGTGCCCATGATGATTCAACGGCCTCTCGGCTCCCCTGTTCCCCGTACCCTGCCGAGGAGAGGGGGGCAGAAGGCAAATCACATCAGTTGGTGTGTTTGGAACATGATAGCTTGGAAGAGAAAGACGGCACAGCAGTAGAGAACCAGTGAAAAGTGAAAAATAAATTACCCCTAAACACCGTTCTTTTTGAAAACCATACGCCCGACAAGGGAGACCTTGGTTACCAGAAAGGAAAATGAGATATCAAGAACCCGCTCATGAACACCGTCACCTCCGCATACATGCTCTATATCCCCCGGAGAGAGCAACCGCGCCTGCAATCCGCGACCGTTTCTTTTATTCTTCCTCCGCACCCTCATCAGCTTCACCCTCTGCCTTTGCGTACACGTCCTCATCTACATCTATGTCCATAGCCTCAACCACTTCATAGGGCTTCTCGCTCCTCTGCCGCCTCTGCTTCTTCGGCTCCCAGTTGGATTTGGGCTTCGCATCCGCATCTAGCCCAAGGTCTGTCATGCTGAACTCGGGGAGTTGGCGCAGCCGCCTCCGCATAGAGCCGCCGGTCGAGCCCAGATTCGCCCTCTTGAGTTCCTTCTCACGGAGATTGTTTTCTTCCTTCGCGCTCAGCATGGTGCCTTCTATGCACAAGAAGCTGTGGTCCCCGCTAAGGCCCACGTCATAGTTGTTGATTCGGAAGCGAAGGTTGCCATGGATCCTGGTGCCGCGCTCGTCGACCCAGTGGCCCAGGACGGTGGCGCTGTGGTACTCCTCGCCATCGGCATCGAACTCCATGTTAACGTCATTATCGTCTTCGGGAGCCGCTACCCAGTACCACTTGGGCGGCAACCGACTAGCCTCGATTGAGGCATTGAACTTGCCCCAACAAACTACACCAACATGGCCTTGATTCTGCAAAATGAGTTCGCCTTCCATCCAAGAGCCTCTCTTGGGTACAAAGAGCTCAAGCTCCGCGATAAGCCAGCAGTAGCCCACACCATACTCGTTCACGCTCAGAAGTTTGACAGATTCGCTATCGGTTGTGGCGGCGCCGTCTCGAGTAGGCCGGTCGTTGAGACACACATTCTTATGGCTCAGAAGCACGCCTCCAATCTCGCTATCGTACCGGTGCATTTTGGGTGTCAGGTGCTGCTCGATCGCCGCCGTTATAGGTTGATGCCAGCCCCGAGGCCAGAGAGGTACCCATCTCGACACTTCTTGCTTGATGACCGGAGGTGGTCCACGGGGCTCAGGGTCCAGGTCAGCAGAATTGTAGACCTGAGGTTCCACAACGGCCTCTTCCTGTATCCCATTCTCAAGGGAGTCGATTGGCGGTCGCTTGTCCGCGGTCGGCGGTGGTGTGGCTTGGACTTCGAGTGACTTGTCTTTGCGCTTTCGCTTCTTTTCGGGGGCGATAGAGGGCAAAGATGCGTTTCCATTGACACCATTGGTGGGAGCTACTTCAGAACCAAGCTCGACGGAGGCTTCCCTTTGGTCCTCGTCGTCAGATACTCCGCGATCCTTCTTCTTTTTCTTATCCTTCTTTTCTTTCTTGGACTTCTTTCCCTCGGCTTCAACTTCGTCTGAAGCCTCACCCTTCTTCTTCTTTTTCTTGTCCTTCTTTTCCTTCTTGACCTTGGAGGCTAGTTCGTCTGGCTCATCCTTGCCATCTGTCGTGGGCTCGCCCTCGGGCTCTCGTTTTTCTGTTTGGATTTCTTGGAACTCTTCGTGGTTTCTTCGGGAGAAGGCGTGAACGATATCTCAATAGGATCTAGGATAGATTCCTGTGATGCAGGGATGCCAACGGCGGCCGCTTTGCTGGTCCTGTCCTTCTTGGGCTTCTTCTCTTTGTTCTTGCTGACCTGGGCGTCAATTGAGGGCGTTGGGGTGCCTTCAATGTTAGTTGCTCCTGCCGGTACATCGGCTAAGGCCTTCTTTAGCTTCTTTTGTTTCCTTTTGTAGAAGCTTCTGGGTCCTCATTCTGGCGTCGCTTTTTCGAGGACTTGACCTCGGTAGTATCCATGGTGGTGAAGATGATGATGTGATGTGGGAGAACTAGAAGAAGTTAAGGTGAGGAATAGATGGTAGGGGAAAAAATCAAATTTCTGCTAATATTAATTCCTTGCGCGGCGCATAGCTTTCGGTGGTGGAAGCTTCGTATAAATGGGTAGTTGTGAAGCGAGAGGCTTCGCAATGCTCACAAGCAGAAAAAAATCTATGGCAGGAACGACCAAAAAAAAAAAAAATCTCGAAGGGTCATCGTGGGGCAGGTGCAAGGTTCTGGAAGTGGGTCCATTGAGCTTCGTAGCCCCGCGAGAGGTGATTGGCTGATAGTATCGATGCGATGTGCAGTCAACAGCGAAGTTGACGACCAGGCTGAGAGTCGCACCTGCCCGAGTTCAATTCCTGCTATTTTCTTTTGCCAACATTGGTTTTCAATTTCGACTTGGACTTCGACCCCATCCTCCATCCTCGCCTGGAACATTCGGCATTATGTCTGTTCTTATAGAGACGAGCTCGGGCGATATCGTCATTGATCTGCTCATCGACTACGCACCAAAACTCTGCGAAAACTTTCTAAAGCTCTGCAAGATCAAATACTACAATTTTGCGCCCATTCACTCCGTTCAGAAGAATTTCTCATTTCAGACAGGCGATCCCCTCGGGCCTTTATCGGCGGACTCGGATGGAGGCACCTCAATATGGGGTATGGTTTCAGGAGACAAAGCGAAGAAGTCGTTTCCTGCCCTCTTCCACCCCAAGCTGAAGCATGTTGAGAGGGGCACCGTGAGCATGGCTACCGCGCCATTGCCGTCGGATCCTGATACCCGAGTTGCCGCCTCACAATTCATTGTAACATTAGGAGACGATACCGACTACCTCGACGGCAAGGCCGCCATCTTTGGCAAGGTTGTGGAAGGGTTTGATGTGTTGGACAAGATCAACACTGCGATCACTGATGAGCGAGGCAACCCGCTCGTTGACATCCGAATCAATCACACGATAATACTCGACGACCCCTATCCAGATCCGGCAGGGCTACGTGAGCCCAGCAGCTCCCTCAACCAACCAAAGCTCAATTGTCAACCGTGCGGATTGCCGATGAGGCCGCCCTCCACGAACAAGACGGATTAGACGAAGAAGAGGTGGACCGGAGACGGCGCGAACAAGCTGCGCGTGCCAATGCCCTGACATTAGAGTTGATGGGTGACCTGCCGTTCGCCGAAGTCAAGCCCCCGAGAACGTACTTTTCGTTTGCAAGCTCAACCCGGTCACGACAGATGAAGACCTGGAACTCATTTTTGGCCGTTTCGGCAAGATTCTGAGTTGCGAGGTGATACGGGACAGAAAGTCAGGGGACAGCCTGCAGTACGCCTTCATTGAGTATGAAGTTAAAAGCGCATGCGAGGCGGCGTACTCAAAAATGCAAGACGTCTTGATCGACGACCGCCGAATCCACGTCGATTTCTCACAAAGCGTTAGCAAGTTGAGCGAGGCGTGGAGACAGGATGAAACGCAAAAACGCCGATCTAGAGCTAGAGGTGGTTACGGAGGTGCTGCTGAGCTAGAGAAGAGGAGACAGTACCGCGATGAGTACGACGACGAAGATTATAGCAAATACGGCATGGTCTACAGCCAGGAAGAAATGAAGACTCGACATGACCGTGGGGGCCAACGCCAACGAGACCACCCTTCCCGAGGTGACGACCCCAACCAAAGGAGACGGAGCAAGAGCAGGAGCCGCAGCCCGCAGTATCGACGATCCAATGATCGACATCCTAACCCGAGAGCTCGAGACCGCGATAGGAATGCTGACGACAGACGCCAGCATCGCGGCGGAGATCGGGAGTGGGACCACAACCGGGATCGGGACCGTCAGAGAGATTATCGGCCTCAAGATGATCGTAGAAGAGAGAGAGACCACGGCAGGCGGGACAGACGCTAACCCTGGCCGATTAAAGGAAGGCATTCTGCCTTACTAACGTCGGCTGGGTTCTCTAAGATTGAAATCGACCCTCCCCTCCCTCGCCCCGCCTCTTGCGATACTGTATGTTTCTACAGCGTGTTAGAAGTGGCCACGGTTCGAACACTGTTCGTAAGGCCGACTGCTGTGGGTGGCATCAAGAAGAAAGAGTTGATGTCGACTTGCGTACATGGGGATGCACCTACCCGGCTGGTGTCGAGTATGCTACATCCTCGCTAGCTTCTTGAAATGCTATATTTCTTCTTTCCAGTGATATAATCGACCTCTAAACGTTAGCCGACGTTTCTCTGGAGAGAGTTGAGGAACTCGGCTTGGGGCGTCTGGGGTTATACTTGGGCCACTTGCATCGATCACAGCGAGGCAGCATGTTGGCTAATGGAGGCGTGGGATGTTCTACCAAGTTGGATATGACAGCTTCCTCCGGTTTTGGGCATACGCTGTGTTGCTCTTCATCGGAGGCAGTGCACATCCGCACTGCTTTCTAAGGCATACAGGAGGCATATAGGATGCTTGTGGGGAGTCGCGCGAGGAGGCGGGGCGAGCGTCAGTAACTTCAGGATGCCGGCCTTGAATTTGGCTATATCCAACGGTACTAATCTATGCACGCTTAACTTGAAAAGGCAGGAATGCTGATAAGACAGGGGCAGATTGGATGGCATTGCAGTATCGGTGGGGAAAATCACGAGCTCGGGTTTGGAGGGATGACCGGCTGCATGCCGTGGTCTTCATATCCGTCAATCGCCGGGTGAGCATCGCTCAGCGATAGGGGCACGGGCGCAACTGTGTGCCGTGGCATTACGGCCCCGTCCGCGGCGAAATCGCCCCCGGTCCTTTTCCACTACTTCTTTTCTCACTTTACAATTCCATGTATGATGCTATTCGGTTGCCTCGCCGCTAGGGGCATGCACTACTCCTCGTCATAAATTTCGACGATCGATCTCTCCTGAGAAACGACCAGAGACTTTAGAACGCCATGATAAACCTTTTTTATTATATATAGGCCGTCGAAGAGAGATACTACCGCATGAGTATCCTACCCCAATTGTTGCTGTGCTTCGGGCATGGATGTCCGCAGTCCATCCTACCTACTTTAATGACGCCTTTGGTCAACTTCAACAAATGGCCACCATACTGCAAGGACCCCCCCGCCTTTGTACAACGTTGGTCATCACCATTCCCTCATTGCTCGCGCGCCCTGAAAAGAAAGCTACGCAAGCAGCTCATGGTGCATTACACGTTCCAGTTGCTAGGGTTGACATGCCCATCAAGACCATCAGCTCCACTGAGGGGGGCGCCTCATTGCCGGACTGCTGTCGCCGTTAGAGCGCGTCAGATGCCTCCCCGATATTGCCAACCCCATAGCCAGATGTGTGTATCCGGGCATCGAGACAGGCACGAGAATTCATCGCTAATAGTTATCTAGAACATTTACAGCTCTCTGGCCGCATGGCGTGGCTTGAGGCTTGCTCCTGGGGCGCCAATCATACGCAGCCCCTCCCATACCTGGACATCTCGTTGCCTTGTTTCACAAGTTGTGCCATGACAGAGATACTTGACGTTGCTCTTTCCTAATCAGCCACATGAAGCCTTGGACCAACCGTGTTTCTCCTTCATCCTTTGATCTTCCATTTCTTCCCATGTCGCCTATGTGACACCTAGCATGTCTACCGCTAAGGTGGACGGGCAGAATAGCGCGCAAAGAAACAATGTTATGTGCGTCGCAGTACCAATGAAGAACGTACGCAACTCGGAGCACGCAAGGTTGCGCTTCAACGGCAGGCAACACTTCATCGCCAACCGTACAGCGAGGAGCGACTTCATGTTTGGTTAATGCCAAAGTGTTTTAATTACACCTTGGGCCTTCGTGCCAGTAGGAACTCTAGATCCTACTTTCTCTCTCCAGCCCATTCCCAAAGGTGGCCGCGTGGGGTTACGCGAGATTCTCTGTAGCCGAATGAGCGTCTACTGTTGCCACGAGACGTTTTCGGCGGGCGGCCTGTCGCACTTGTCGCCCCATACTGTGAGAAGCGTCCGCAAGGTACCCAAAGGCGGACATCCTTGCCTCGTTCCCGGAGCTTTGGACGACGGCTATAGGAAGATTGCACTCCGGTGGTAGGCGCCCTTCGCTCAAAGTTCGAGAGGGCTACCTCGCGCACGAGGTTGGTGCCTCATTTTCCTGGTTTGATGTCACATAGTTTCTCTTCAAACAGGCCAAGCTCGTCACAGTCTCACCCCGTCACACAAAACTTCGGCTGCATGCATCCCACGCCAGTCTTTTCCTCAAATTTCCTTTTCCTTCTCCTCTTTTTGTCCTTCTTTTCTTGCTCCACGTCTTTCACTCCAGTTTACTGTTGGGATGACACTTTGACGAGAACGGCGAGACTAGGGCAACCTACGAAGCGGAATCACTTGTCGTTCGCAATTCTTCAACGCCACAGGTGGACTGTTGGGCTCTTTGGCGCTAATACTAGCAACGAGGTGGGCGAAAACACCTTCACTACTATAAAGTATGAACGCTAGCTGCACGTATAGTGGGCGACAAGTATAATACGAGATAGAGGCCGTGGGTATTGGCTAGGGCCTGTGATGGCCGGAGATACACCTGCAGAAGGGTTTCGGTTTGACATCTTTCTCCACCTATTACGTTGACGAAATGCTATATATATATATATACCCAAATGCATGGGTTCGAAGGAAGAGAAGGGCGCAAACGTGGCCGTTGGGGAAGGGCGCATCTTCATCGTTCCTGCCGTTGTCATATCTTGCGCAGGCTAGTCCGGCCAGATCATCCAAGATAGTACTATCGGTATCCCCTTATCCCTGCTGCCTGGCCATCTCGCCAATCACGACGCAGGTCCGGATGCTTGGGCGTTTTAGTCCTGATTCGGTGCAGTCAAGGCCGAGCATCTACTATCTATGATGGAGGGGCCGGAGGCTCCAACCCCTCATTTTCCCTTTTCGCATCCAGTTGTTCTCGTGAGCAGAAGGCTTTTTCTCTGCCTCAGTTCTCACTTTTCTTTTCTTCCTTTTCCCCTTTCTTTCGTCGTCGGATCCCCTCGGGGAAATTTCATACACGTGCGTCTCGGGCTCCTTGCCGGCACTTTTTCGAGGCGAAGCGGACGGCAAGTTACCTCGGGTGGGGGAAGAAGGAAGATACTGCCACCTTAATCACCTAGCCGGCATACATGTCTCTTCCTCCCCGCCAGCCTTTCACTTGAGGCTTTGAGCATGCCAAACGGATTCGCATTTCAACACAGCCCAGACTAGCGGTCCGTTGGTTGTTGATGCATCCATGGCAGGGGTTCAGTAGCAGAGCATCCCGGGCGGGTCGCGGAATCCCTGCATCTCCCAAATCCCGTATCATGCCCTGCATGAATTATCCCTGGTACCTCATTGCTGGGAAGATGGGAAACCACGCACCTTTGGGAAGTGGGGTGGGCGGGTTTGGGGTACCAGGGCGAAGGGGGCATGCCAGCTGCCTGCGAGCCAATGGACGAGTATGTTGTTCAAGAGCTACCCGGGTTTTCCTTCCTGGCAGGACGACACATGCCATCGATAGTGGACATGCGTGTGGACATGCCATGCCCCCCCAGCGGCCCATAACTGAGGAGGCCGAAACCTTTGACGGCGACCCAGAGATGAGAGGGTGGTTGGGGAGGGGCGTGGGCAATTTAGGAGGCGGATGGTCCGCAAGCGGGCCTGGTATAAAAGATCAAAGGGTACTTTGTTAGGGTAGACGAGGGGCTCGTTGGTGTTGTACAACGCGATGTCTGACCGCCCGTATTAAATGCACGTATGGAAGATGGGGGTCCAAAGGAAGGCGGTGGCTTGCCTCGACATAGGCTACGCGCTCTAGCTGGTATTGACTTGACAACACAGGATGAGACATCAAGATTCTCGGCAAGAGAGCTCTACGAATCGTGGTCAGTAGTTAGGGGAGACAGAGGGGCGGGGCGAGAATGGCAAGGGGAAAGGATTGAGGGAAGGGGGAAGAGTGTAAGAATGTTTAGAAGGAAGACATTGGCATTGGCGAGCTTGGCTCCACCCCCTCCTCGCTAGTTGAGCCTTGGACGTTTACACGTCGGACGAGGATAAGATCAGGCGGGCCAATGTCTCGATGGAGGCGAAGGTGGAAGTTTCGGTTTCGGTGCGGCCCGTGAAAGGCCCGTATTATTCGCGGCCTCTCCTCTCGTCGAGTTCACAGGGAGAAAGACAAGAAAATTTGTTTGGGGGGGCATCTCAGACACGCGGCGCCGGCGGTGGTGACAGCGTTTGACGCCTGCGAGGGGTTACTGCTTGTTGGCTGGCCCTGAGCGGGCAGATCACCATGAGATATGCCTTTTTACAGCTTGTGCAGCCCTCAGGGGCAGTTCTGCGATGCCGGTCTTGCCATCTCACACATACATGTACGTGGGCATACACCGTGTACCTACAGGGGGAGGGGCAGGCTGGGGAGGCAAAGCTTCGGGACGATGGCAGAAGAGCTTCAAAAAGATTGCAGAGAGCCCGTTGCTGGGGGTGTGAACCCGGGGACGGGCTTGGTTGGGTTTCTTCAGTGTTCTCGATTGCTTCAAAGTTCGTCTCCTCGACAATACCACCCGGGGTCGGCTTGGGGTGTGGTCGGTGGCGGCAACGGCCGTTCCCGGGATCCCTGTCGACTCGCTCTCGCCTTTTTTTCATTCTTCTTTTCTTCATCGGCGCGGTGCTTTTGCCTCCACCGCCCCGATATGCAGGACAGGTTTGTTGCATATTACCACGTCCCTTTTTCCCAATGGTAGATTTTCCGAAGTGTTCCCATATCCCTGTCCTTCTCTTGTCCCTTTTCCGCTTCCACCTGTAATAGGGGTTATTCTTCTTTGTGCGGATCTACTACACCGACGACCTCGAAATCTCGTGCATCAGCCCCCATCCGATGCTCGCAGCTCGCCACTGGCGACAAACCTGCAGGGCGTTGTTTGTTTCGAGATGAGACGGGCCAATATATGGCTTCTTGGGAAGCAGCGGAGGATCCGGAGTGCGTGAGGACTCTGGATGGTTGTTGGCTGGAGGCGCCTCCTCCGGACTTATTGTTTGCTCCTGCACCTTTTCGCCGCTGCGTGGACAATCCTCCAGGGGATGCTCGCCTTCTTCAATATCTGCGCTGGACACATGGTTCGTCTGCTTTCAGCACGGATTGGTGGGCTTATGCTATGCCCCCTCCCCTTTCTTTTTCTCTTTTCTTTTTCTTTTCCGTTTTGCGATTTGCTAGTCTACTCTTTCTTCTCCTTCAGCGAGTACGAGGGGAATACGGATAGTCTTTGTTCTGGGGCGCACCTGTTGTGCGCTATCAGGTCTAACAAGAGGTTACGGTTCACTTGTACATCCCATCACTTGCTAAACGGCGCCGGAGAATTTGTAAAGATTTTCTTACCTTTTTTTCCCCTCTTTTTCATAAGGGAGAGAAAGGGCAAAGGGAAGAGAGGACGAAAAAAGAAGCGGGCTTTTGTTGTACTCCACGCCCCATGGGAAAATTCCTGGATAGGAAAGACAAAAGAATGACAAGGAGCTGATGGGTTTTGCCCCTGTGTCTACTCTATACCTGCAGATAAACCGTTGTACAGGACAAGAAGGCGGGAAAGGAAGAGAGGGGTAAGATAGTCACCGAGTCCGATCAATGTCTCGCGGCCATGAAGCCTCGTGCTGTTGTGCTTTGATTCATCACGTTGCCCGTCGTTTCTTTTTTTTTCTTTCTTCTTTTTTCGTCTTCTTTTTCGGTCTACCTTGTCTGCGTGCCTTTCTTTTCCTCACTTGGAAATTGGAGAGACGGGTAGGAGGCACAGACTAAATCATCGTGTCTCAGCTCGTCTATCCTCTTACACACCTTTTCAACGGCTTTCGGGCCATTTTTGGTCAGGGTGATTAGCCCCCGCCCTCTCTCCCTCTGATACGTCAAGTGAAGAGCATAACGCAGCGAGGTACTTGGTTGGTGAAGAAGAGCTTTGAAGCGAGGTGTGGGGAGAGTGGGAGAGAGAGAGATGGGGGTGGATCGGGGGTGGATGGCGGTGATCAAGGATGGGAAGTGTAAACGAGGAGAGCGCTGCGAGCTGCGATGCCTTCGCTTGCTGTTTCCATTTTGCTACTTTTGCTCTTTCATGTTCAGTGTTCCTCTTAGGCCCCTCCCTTCTTGTGTTACCATGGATCCAGCTTTTCCACCCTGTTGCGCTGTATGCTTGTCATTAAGCCCGAAATCCTGACTAGTCCTTTTTTATTCTTTTCGTTTTCTATTTTTTTCTTTTCTTGCGCACCCCTTTTGGCCCATCGTCTTGTTCTAGGCCTTTGCTGCT